ATGATGTTGATGTATGATCTGATTTTGTTCATTGCCATCGAAGGATTCGCTACGAATAAATAACCAACGAGAGCTGATTATCCTTGGAATGACTAGCGAAATTTTATACTGTTATAAGGAAATTAATAATCAAAGAGCAAACAGCCAAGGAAGTAGTTTAGTTTAAAATGTACTAACTTAAATTAATTAATGATAATTAGAGTTAATGCAAAGAAATCAAATGTCTGATAAACTGAAATGCAATTTAGAACGCAAAATTATTTTTCAAAAGTGGATGCAAACGGAATTTAATAAAGTGATATAGAAAAAATTGCTCTGATGCTTTCATTGTATTTCATCTTCCTACTTCCTAACTTTTCCAAAGTAAAAATGCGATTACTACAAAATAAACAGCAAACAACTTTAAATTTTTTGTGAATACTACCAGGTTGCTGAATTTAATTTTATTTTACCAAACGATTATGAGGAATTATACTTATTACAATTGGCAAATAAAGTTTTGAAATGAAAATGCATCTTAAATAGTAAGAATGATACAAAGATCGATCGAATTTAAACTTAATGTTGACTTAAAGCATCATAAATATAAGTGGAGAAATTGAGATTCAGTTAGTAAATATAAGATTAATGTAGCTGAAAATAAATCCATCATAATTATTTATTGCAGTTATGCTTCCAGATTGCTAGGCTCTATTCATATGGATTTTGCTAGATCTTTTTGCTAGCCCAGCTTGATTTTCTAATTGATGGAAGCTTCTAATAAAATTTTTCATATTTTCATTTTTTTTAATTAAGCAAGATTTATTGCAATTTTATTATTTGATTTTATTTAGACATTCCTGTTATATTTTTGATTATTAAAATAATTTCCTTGGAATGAGAATTGAGAACAAATTGCAAGAACTATGCGAAATACGAGGTGGTGTCATGATGTGTTCTCACAAAATGGGCAAAAGAATGAACATCCATTAATTTGATAAAGATTAGTGGATTAAGGACTGTATCTACTGATTGGACATTCTCTTCTCTCTACATCATTTTTTTAACTCCATTTCTATTAAGCAATCATAATGTGAAGTCATTAGATGATATTAAGGCCTTTCTCCTTCAGTTTCCACTTTTATATAACGAATGAAAATGCATCAGCCTGCAAAGGTTGCATTATTTTTATTTTGTGAAATGAAATAGTTGTGTACTGTAACATTTTCAAGCTTTCTTCATGCTTCGTTTTATAATGCATAGAATCCCTTACAAAATTATAAATAAAATATATGCAATAACTAAGAATATTAATATTCGCAAACTATCCGACATAGACAAAAGAAATCGTTAGTAATATTTGATTGGTTGTTGTGAAATTTCAATTGTCAGTTACACATCACTTTCCACTCTCCAAAAAGTTTATCCTACTCATTGCTTAGAAAAATAAATGATTATCCATATTTTAATTTCTTTCTCGTCAGAAATACGAAAATTTCTTCATGAGTTTACTGGAAGAACTTTTTTCATTTAATTTAATGCAATAATTTATCATTTCCTGTATTATTCATTACATGACTGATCAGACCGAAAAGAATTTCAAGCCGTAAATCTTTCTAGCTATTTGAGCTTCTAATGCCTTTAGAAGTCATTCTGTGCTTTCTCAAATTCTTCTGCTTCCTTATATTTTCCGAAATTAATTCAAAATTTTCTTCGCTGAATACATAATGCTAAAAATTTACTCCTGAAATTTAAATCTCGATTATTCTCTTGGTTTGCTGTTTTAGAATAAATTTTTTCTAATTTCTTGATAACTCAATTTTTTCAATAAGTATGTCCAACGATGTATTTGAATTGTGTTGTGTATTGTAAAATTTTCAAAGATACGAAAAGTAAAGAAATCGGCAAACTTCAGATGCAAGTAAAATAGATAGCAACTTTCCTGACCACTTGTTATCATAATGTTCATTTTTTTACTTTTTTTCAAATACTAAATTTAAAATAGCACTTGAAAAATATAATTATTATATGAATCAGTTTCTGATTATGATAATAATCAGAAACTGCTTCGTATAATAATCACATAAAACTGCTAGAGATTTCAGTTCTAATTCAATTAGGAAATATCGGATTAAATATCGAAAGCACCATAACTTCAGCAGAATTTTAATTATTAAAAAATTGAAATCCAATTTCTAGCAGTTTTGTGTGAAACTTACTCTTCAGTATCATGAATAATAAATCCATATTTGTGTTAAAGAAATAACGAACTGTTAAATGAAAATGGTTTTGGACAACTTAACAAACAAATAGTTCATCATGAATATTTGTGCAAGAGGGTCATGCAGAAAACAAAGTAATTAATAAGCTGTCAGAAAATTAATTAATAAATTAATTATTTGCATGAAATACCAAATATTTGATAATTTGAGTTTTTAAGTAAGGCTGTCAAAAAATTATTAAATGATTAGAATTACCGTAGCTATTTGGAGAGACTACGCTCGAAAATTTTGAAAACCACGCCCTGAATGCGTGGAGATAACCTCCTTTCTCTTCATTGGTTCAGCACTTGTCCTATATCGCACTAGTGTCATTTAATTCGTTTATTGAATTTTTCATCCTTATTCAACGGAATGATAACAAAGTTTCTTTTATAATAGAGCAGAATGAAAAAACCAAAGTTGCTTAACATCGCATCATTGCGACTGTCTTTTTAATGATATTAATTTACGGTCAAGTGTCGGATCATACTCATATTCGAATCCTATTTCTCCTGGATCTTCTAAGATTGTTAGAATTAGAATAATTAACAAGTCAAAATAATTATGATTGATGCAAAAATGTTGTTTTATTGTTCTACGTTCAAATAGAACATTTTGGGCATATATCAATGGTACCTTCGCAATATGATGCAATCAATAATTGTCATTTGACAGCAAAAGATGAGACATGCAGATAAGAATCGTGAAAAATACACTTGAATGCATGTTACAGAATGATAGTCTTAGCGAAATTTTTGTCATGTTTCGAGATTCTAGAAAAGGCAGATTTTATTTGTAAGACGAAGTTGAAAATGTAAAAGCACTACATCAAAATAAATATAAAAGAAATGAAATATATTAAATATGATTTTGAATTGATATACTTTAGACGGATTGAATTGGGCCTATGAATCTTTTTTAGTATTTTAATTGCATTGAGGCTGATGAGGTAGTTTATAAAGCTGCGAGAGTAGATTAAGTTCGCAGATTTTAAGCTATCTCCACTGCCTTCATTGCATAATTCTCTTTTATTCTCTTATATTCCTGAACTTATTTGAATTTCTTATTCATCCTTTGTGTTAATATTTTTTTAATAGAATTTTCTTTAAATAGTTTTTTTGAAAATTTGATAATTTAAATAATTCATTTTTTCAAACAGTTTACTGAGTAGACGAATAAAGACCATATGATAAATTAGAATCAATAATACAATCTGGAATCATTTAATGGGTCCCAGAAATCTTGTAGAAGATGCTTATAAGTTGAAATTTGAGTTATCGTTCTTGGTTGTTTCTTAACTCGTTGTTCAGTATTATGTAACTATAGAAATGTCTGTCGTACAATCTTGAAGCAGGCATCTTTAATTATATTAATTAAAAAAACTTTAAGTCATTAATTTTCAACTTTACATCACTTCAATCTAAACATCTACTGGAACTAGCTAGTGGATTCAATTTCAAAAATTTGTCATTTTACTAAATGTCGTATTGAATTTCTTTCATAAAATTGTTATTCTTGTGAAATACAAATCAATGAAGGTCGTAAAAGCCTGCTATCGTAATGTAAAAAATGCTGCAAATGAATCGATTAAGAGATAAATGAAATTCAGCAATTGTGCTTGCTTTTACCAGATTAAAATTAATAGTAATGTCTTACTGCATTGATTATTTTTCATTTAAAAATAATGTCTTACTGTACTGATTATTCTTCAGTTATTTAGCATAGTTTCAATGAATCTCAAGAAATTATTTAAAAGCAATCGATAAGTGTTATACAAAAAATTCATTGCGATTCGCGCAAAAAAAATTTGCATTAAATTGCTTTGTCTATATATTCTGATGTTCACTGTTGAAAAATTCATTGTTTTGATTTGTTACGTTTTGAAAATGGTCTCACGACAAATTCATTGGACAAACTTTTAGAGGACTAATGACAATATTCTTGATTCATTCCTCCAAGAAGCACCTGAAGGGAGTGCTCTTGATTTCACTTGTTATCATGGTCTGGCATTTAGCTTTCTAAATATAATAATTAGAAGGGAAAAAATAAAATTCTCTTAATTGACAAATAAATATTGCTATGAAAAGTTTTGTGTCTTTCATTTTAAATTATATTTTTATTTCCCTCCTCGATCATTTTGCTTTTTTATTATATTATTTTAAACGTAATAATTTGTCGCGCAAATGATTGCTAACTGTGGAAGCAGTATTATTTGCTTTTTAATAATTAAGGAACGCAGCCTTAATTTTGACATATTTTAACTAATCAATTCAGTACCAGCTCTGATTTAAGACATATTTTAAAATTATATCTGAGTAATATTTCTGAAAATTTTGAAATATGAAAACATCAAGCTTGCATAATAAATAAGTTGTTCACTAATGCAATCGCATTTTTCCACACCGTTGACCTTTTTTCATTTGTCCTTCATCACAGAACGAAAGGTATAGTTTTATGTATCCTTTGAATTCCCGAAGTCATGTTTCCAAGGCCAGTGTTGCAACATACAACATTGTCTGAACACTTTTTTTACAAAATAGTCCAAAAGTTTTGATTAGTAGAATGTCTGGCAATAAATTTTTCGATCCAACAAGTTTTTATATTTGAGTTTTCAAAAAATTCGAGTGATTAACAAATTATGATTTGATTTACTAGTAAAATTTTTTCTATTAAATTCTATTTGTAGTGACTAGAATATTAGAAGTTAAAATTTGTAGTAATAACCTACAAGACAAGACAACATTTTTTAAGCTATCGTTAATGGTAGGACAACTGAAAAATACCGAACAAAAACAAACAATTGCGGTCGAAAAAATTTGTTCCAAAGTATTTCAGTTCTGCTTATTAATTAAAGATGAAACATTTGGTGACAAAGGACAGTAAGTTTAATGTACATCATTCAAAAAGCAAGCTCATATTTAAATGAATTTTTTATCCTCAAAGCTAATTTGCTACTGTCAGGAATTCTGTGCTTCGTACTCTTGTACTGGAAAAGTTTCCCGATTTTGCTATTGCTCAAGTAATTCTACAAAAACCTACAGGTTTTTCATTGTATATCAAAGCTGAAATTTTTTAAAATCAAAAGAATTTCAATTTGAAAGTATATGCTCTAATTTGCATAATATATAAGTAGTAGAATGTTGCATTTAATACGTTGCACTAGCAAATTATACCACAAAATAAAAAATTATCGAAGCTTAAATTATGGCCAGCTTAATCTATAATTATGAAATTAAGACAACATTCAATGGTAAGCAAAATTAATTTAGTAGAAAAGAGAAGATTTTCGTAAAGAATGCAAATATCACAAGAAAAAAATAAGCGAAAGAGAATGTAAATTCAGGTTGGCTACCACAATTTAATCGGGCGCAATGTCGTGCAATGGCGCTTCTGCCAGCTGATTATCAACAAATAATGTTAACAGCTCCATTTTTGACCGGATCATTGCGTAAGGAAGATGATGATGTTGAATACGGTCGTGCATTATTCGTAGGACTTGGAGCACGCTCAATTGCCGGTTATATTCACTATCATTTGTTTCGGGTAAGAAAATATTATCAAAAACGACAAATTTTATTTAATAATTGTTATTTTATTTATTTAAATGTTTATATCATTGCGAAGGTTTGAAAGGATGAAATCAGAAACTTTTTTCATCGCAATAAATTCATTTTATGTTTAATATCTTACTTTAGCATAAAGCGAAATGGCAAAAAAAGGAAAACAATTCTTTATTCAGGTGGAAATCGATGAGCTTATTGCTGTTGAAAAGGATCAGTATTTGAACAAACTATGGTTAGAAAATCCAACTTGGAATTATATTACTATCGACGACATACGTTAGTAATTTCATATCATTGAATTCGAGCATTTTTAGCATTAAGACCTTTTATTAGTTAATTGACAACTTCTACTTTGTACTTCACTTTCAAAAAATTTAATGCTAAAAATTCTTAAAAAGATATTGCACGGAATTTTTTGATTTTATTAAAATATGTTTCATTAACAGAGTTTCTTTAATCAATAATTTATTAATGCTCATATAATATTTATGTATGGAGATGTTCAAAAAAGGAAAACAAAAGCTTTAAGTTAAACTTTATATTTCAGAATTGAATTAATAGATTTTAATAGCCTCTCTCCATTATCCTTGTTATACAATAGTGTAGTTTAAGAAAATGAGCTTCATTTCGCTCTTGTAGTGTTCCTTCCAATGTAATGAAAATCTTTTTCATATAATAGCAATGATTAGGGATAGAAATAAACTGATCACACTTAATAAGAAGTTATCACCAACTTTCCTTTCCAAAAGTCTTTAATTCATTCAAAAATGCAAATAAGTCGTGAAAGAATTTCAATTTTTCTCAAAGATGTATTACAAAATGCTTAACTTTGCTGGTTAAATAGAAAAATTCGAATTTTAAAGTTTTTAAGAATAGTAATTTTACTTTTAATGCTCTCTTTATGAACTAATACTTTCTTAGTCATCTCAAATATTTCCAATAAAAGTTTAAAAAATCAATATAAACTTTTTATGAAGGTGAAAAGGACTACAATGCAGTATTTATTGACGCTTGTCTTAATTCTATTTGTCCACCAACACGGATAATCGAAACAGCCGCACAGTTAAACAAAACGCTCAAAGAAAATGGTGAATTTTCTTCAATTTCGAAATCTTATACCATACTTTCTATCATGCAATACTTGCCATATATTTATGCATACTTTAAAATTTGCTTTCTCAACTAGTTATTAGTAATCTATGCAGAGATACGTATCAAAAGTTCTTTAATGAGAGAGAAGATGCCAGCAATGCGAAGATGACAGATAGATTAAGTTTATTTGCATTAAGTAACTAAAAATTTTAAAATATTGAAATTAATTCAATAAGCAACAAAAAATTGAAATATGATATGAAGAAAAACTTTTAGGTGTCCTTATTGTCAATGTGAATGCTCCAACAAAAAGTTTATTACATCGAACATTAAAAAGGGTGGGAAAATTTGTGATGTTTCAAAATTTCTTTTAATTCTCTTCATATACCAATTTTGTTGATGTTGGGCGCAGTGTTCAAAGATAAAAGTTCTCTTCTATGATAAATAATAATTATTAGGATGAAAGACTCTCATTAACAATCATTCTTGTCATACATTCTAAAGACTGTAAATAATTGGATATTGATTAAATGATCAAAATGAGAAAAATTACCAAAGTAGTTGTGCAGGTAAACCAAAGTTGCAGGTAAACGGCAGTTTATCAAAAACATATGATTGCTTTATGATTGCTAATCATTATGATCGCATGGCTTCTTTGAATACAATACTTCTTTATTGGAAATTAGCGTCAACAAGTGGATGTCAAAAGGTGATTAAATCATTCAAAATGAAGAAAAAATCTTTCTCCTTGTCCAGCTTAAGTAATAAGTGATATATAGTATTCCATATTTGATTTAGGATAAATAGTTACCTTGCTATTACCATAACTTTTGCATGATAATATCAGTTTAAAGCATTGCAGTTACAAATAAGTTGCTATAAAACGTTGTGATGTGAATTATTTTAAGTTTACATGTTAGATTATAACATCTCTCCTTAAAGTACGAGAAGATATGGATAACAGCCTGTATTATATTACTTTTGTTGTAAAAGTAAGACATTTATTGCTGCATTTATTTTATATTCCGTATTGAAATTCAGTGTTTATTGGTTATCAACTCTGGGAAATCACTGCTATTTTACATATCAGAATTAAATTAAAATTAATTAATTTTGTTTTATTCAAAAATTACTCAAAGATTTCATGTCAGCATTGGAAACCAAAATATCTAAAGCAAAAGAAAGCTGGCAATTTTAACTTATTCCACATTAAATTCCTTTGTTCCTAAAATTTGCAAATAAAAACTTGTTTGAATAAGGAAGTATAACAATCATCATGGATTCAATAACTGGCAGTAGTTTTGTTCAGAAAAAATCAATTCCATAAAATAAATCATAACATTTCTTCAAATAGATTTCAAAGTTTGCAATGGAATTAAAAATTTATCAACTCTTTCGTACTTACGGTAAAAAGAGCAAATTCATCAATTATTTTAGGTCTTTACTCACACTATTCTTCACAGTAATCCTATGAGAATGAAAAATGACATGGATATTCCACGCAGATTACACGTTAATAGATAAAAGAAATAGATTTTGAGAAATCACTAAAATTGCTCAAATCAGAAAATAATTTTAACAATTTTAAAATCTTCTAAATAAAGTTCACATTAATGACTGTAACATTTTTGAGAAGTGCAACAGTTCGTTTGGATACCTATTGCTGGTAATAAAAAACTAATTCAGTAATTCAAAACACATAATCTACTTATAAAAATTTGTTTAAAATTTGCAATATTTGCTTAATCGATAAATAAAAATAATCATGGAGGAATCACTTCTCTCTTGCTTACATAAAAGTAGTTGAAAAGAATATCAACCAATATGATCTATGTGACATATTGGACCATAAACTTCAACCTTGTTTGTTTTTTACAGGTATGCGCCTGATGATATAGACAATGTCTGTGTGTCACTTTCCTCTATTAAAAATTACAAATTACATCCATCTTTTATATTCAGTTTTTTACCGTGATTGCTTTTCAAATAAAACTGAAGTTTACATTAGGATGTTTTAGAGTGCAAAAGAAAACTTTTAATTGATTTTGAAAATAAAACAAGGTTTATATGTCTGGAAAGATGTTTATAAAATTTAAACCTGGATTTCTACTGAAAAAAATTTAACTCAGATTAACTGTTACTACCACTTGAGTAATCAGCCTTCTGTAAAGATAAAAAATTGTCCAGATTTTCAAAAAAAATTTGATTTGGAATGACATAAATAGTTCTATTTTTATAAGAAAGATTATTTTAAATTTTCAAAAAACCTGAAATGGCCGGAAATTTCCAAATACAGGTATTTGACCTCAATATTTTCGACACATTTCTTGTCTTTAACTTATCCCTCAAGTATTTTACATAAATTTCAGTTCAAAGAAAGGAATAAATTTTAGAGAAATAAGAGATTGCATAGATGGAAAATATTAAATGAATTTCTTTCAGAAATGTCTGCAAAGCATTCTGCTTATAACACCTTTTTTTAAAATTATTGTCAAAATTGCTTGAGGAATTCACTTCACATATGTTCGATATGAATTTTTGTTTATTCTCATAGTCTTACTTAATTTTTTAATATGCTAACTTCTTTAATCAGCTCTTTACCTATTGGTGCCTTGTAAGTCCCCACCCCATTAATAAACAGATGATAAAATGGGACAAAAAATTGCGCAACGAATTAATCAAAATAATTCAAAGTGAGCGTTATTGCCTAGCGCGGTGTCGAACCAAGGGTGCGGTGGTTGGAGAGTGAGGTGGCTTGAAATAGTTTTCTCAAATTTCTTTATGGTCATATCTATTCAAGAATCCAAAACTTAGTGTGTTCTCTTTTGTAAAAATAATTTCAAAGAGATTTAAGTTTCTCATAATAAAACTACGGGATGGTCTCGTAGATATTTCAACAGAATCATTTTCAAATCCATTTAAATATGTGATCTGTTTATGCTTGATACATTCAATTTCTCTGCTGATTTCTAAATATAAAAATAATTCTGCGTTTATTTTACTTATTTCTTATGTTACTTATGGTACCAAGATTGATATATTCCTTCTCAGAATCGTTTTGTTCAAGTGACTTCTTCTGATGCTCTTTCGATGGATCATTCCATTAATATTCCTTTTCTTTATTATGCATTAATATGAAAAGTGAATTGCTTGCATTTCATTGCATGAATTCCTTAAAGTCTTCTCTCCTGTCTTTCCAGTGCCACGAATAGCAATGCGGGAGGAATCCGCACTTATTGTATGAATGTGAAACGGTTTATTTTATGTGACATGTTTTATCAATGTGATATGTTATTACCCGGTCGTGGTATCGATCGTACATCTGGTGAATTGCTGACACTGTAATTATTGAACTCTCAGCAATAATGTACAGTAGTATTCGGAAAACGCTTTGTTTTACCAGAAGCTGAGTGATTATTATTTTTCCTATGAAATTAAGTCGCGCTGTCAATTTTACCGCGTTAGGTGTAATTATCATCTATGCTACAGCAGTTCTATTGGGAGCGCCACTTTTAAGGTTAGTTGATTTGTGTTTCTTTCTTTCTAATGCGTACAAAGATATCTTTCCACCGCACAGAACTTACGAATGTCATCATAATTAAATCATATCAATGATTTCAGTCATTTTGGAGCAAATTTCATTTTTTCGATAGTGCTTGCAATAGTGAGTATATTCCCATTGTTGTTAGTTGCTGAAAACTTCGACAGTTTGGATAATATTTTATTCGGCGAGAGGTTTGATTTAAATGTGTCACTAAATTCAAAATTATAGATGTTTTATCCGAAAGCAGGAAGAAAAAGAAGGGATATTGCTTTTTGTAGAAGATATTGTCTGTGACAGGTAAAGAGGTTCAGGAAAGCAGGAGAGGTATCCCTCGGAAGAAGAAAATCTAGTTTCTTGACGCTTATATTTATCACTCGATTTTCACTCATCACTAGAATCACCCATCACTTAATTTTATGTGTATTTTATGTATATTATTAAAATTGATACGTTGTAATTATGAAAATTTATTGGATAAAAGAAAATTTATTGTTGATATTTATTATGGAACCAAAGCAGTATGTTATGCTTGGCAAATTTAGGCAATTATCGCGTAAGTGTTTGCTTGCTCGTCACTTATCGCTTGGTGGTATTTTCGGTGCGTGGTTCGGCGCCTTTGTTATCCCTTTAGATTGGGATCGCTGGTGGCAGGTAATTTATGAGATTTATTAAAATATATTTATGTTCCATTAATTCAAGGTAATCACTAGGACTCTTCAGTCATTCTTTTATTTCTTGCAAGCCAATTTCGATTATTGCAGTGTAGGTAGTTAGCCGACTAAATGTTTTAATTGTTTTATTTTTTCAAATAGTATTTTAATATTTTAAATCTCCTTCAGCGTTGGCCTATTCCTTGTATTTTTGGTGCAGTAGCTGGTGGTATTCTTGGATGTTTAATCAGTAATTATAAATTTTTTTTTTCCTGGTTGGAAAAACAACGAAAACTGGAAAAATTTGTGTGACTTCAATGGTTTGTTTTGATTATTTTTGATATTGAAGCTTGAGTTTGCAAGATAATCATCCAATACTAAAGGGTCTTAATATCATATTTCCACTGAAGTAGAGAAGTTCGCAATAACGAGAATTTTTAAGCTTATAAAATATCTGAGTTCGTCATTTATAATGAAAATATATTTGAGGACTTTGGAAACTAGATCATATAAAAATTTCAATTATTGCAATGTACGCTGCAACGAGCACTTACCGTTCTCAACTGATCAATGTACCAAAACTGAAAGCTATCATTTTTGCCGAGTTCGATGCAGACAAAGGTCCAGTAATCAGAATACAAGTTAGTGAAAACTTCATTTTGTTTCTATTTTCGCAAGTATCACCCATATTTAGCTCTGTTCTTCACAAGGATGAATGGTATTTAAGTGCTGAGCCTCATTTCTTGTTACAATTATCAAAAGATTTCTGGAAAGTGACTAATCAAGTAGTGATTAGTTTTACAGGTACCCGACTTTCTCTTCGATGCAAAAAGATTTGATACATTTTCAAATGCTATCATTCCTAAACCGGAACTTTTTCATCGACTAATTAAAGTGAACCACGTTGAAAATAGTGATGGAAAAGTGTACAAGGTTATGGGACATCCTGTTGGTATCGGTCAGTTCTATTGCTGTGTTATGAACATTATGCAAAATCAACTTGAGTCATTATGTTTGATATAAAATTGTTTACACTTACTGTTAATGAATTAAATCATGAAATAAGTTTTGAGTCAACTTCTTGGAATCTATGAAAAATTAAGGCTTCTTTGACTTATATGTACGTAGGAATGATCGTCAATTTCACTATAAGCGATTTTCCTGCAAATGAAGATACCAAGTAATTTTCCCGACAAGCGTTTTGTAAATGTTGTACAACAATGTTGATCAGTACATATGAGCCATCTTAAAAATTGTTGAAAGTAATTCGAATATAAGATTTGCATGTCGCCTTTTCTTATTAGCAAATTGTAAAAGAAAAGAACTTTAGGAGAAAAAAATCAATAAAATGGTACTTTGACCAACGAACACAAAGTTTAGTACGATATTCCTGTAATTGTTCTTGATCTTTAATATGAATTATAGTCCCTCGAAACAGTTTAACAATAGGAAAACCATTCTTGTGCGAGGAATTTAAGGAAAATCAAAATATTCTCGCTTGTTTCGTTTCGTTTAAAAAATTTTTTCATAGAAGAGGTAGGAAATTGTCTTGTTGTACATTAACTAACTTCTTTCTGCCTTATTCGATTGTTCATAATCCTTTTCTTTCTGCATTGGTTAAGGATATGAGATTTTTGGCATTACTTTTGTGGTACCGTATTCTAGAAATACCATGAGCTGGTTCAGTTTTTATAGTTTAATAAAATAATTATGCCAAGGGAAGCATATTCTTACAAGTATTAAAAATCTTTCAGAGTCTGATTCATATACTCGCGGTCGCTATATATTCAATGTGTGTTTTGTAGTTGATAAAAGTAGTCACATTGATTGCATGTACGAACCGATGGTACAGAAGTGTGCGGCGTACCTAACACAGATGGAAAAGGTGAAGGTCTTATAAAATACTGAGATGATTGAGTTAAAAAATTGATAAGCGAAAATATAACTGAAGATATTCAGGATACGCGTTTTTTGTCACAGTCGCAGGACAAACTACCTGATTTATTGTTAAACATATTCGAAGACCTCAACGAGCTTGGTATGTAGATTTTCATATTTGCTTTTTGAGTAAAAACCGCAACTTAATGCACTTATAATAAAATGTTGTTACGGATTTTAATTTAATGATGGTACGCTTGACCTGTTGATTCGCTTGCATTACTTACATCATTGCTAGGATATAAAGCTTGAATTGCTTCACATGCAACAAATTTTTTAAAGAGAACAGTGATTTTGATTATAAGTCTCGCAAGTATTTCGTTGTTTCAACTCTCATATTCTGGCATTTTTACTTTGATGTTTAATAGATTAAAAGGTTTTATATAAAATAGCTGAGACTTGATTAATGAAAGATGTATTACAACAAAATGCCTTCTGAGGAATGTATTCAGCGATTTTAAGAAAAAATTCTTTCTTTATATTGAATTTTTACTAAAATAAGATTTGGATTATCACTGGTGTTATTTTTTTTCCTTTGATAGCATTGTGTCAGAGGCAGTATGATACGTTTATGATCGATGATAAATTTATTCTGACGATTAATAGATTAGATAGCATAAAGTTCCATTATTAGCATCAAGTTACGTTATTGATTTGCAATACAGAGAAGAAAAAACTTTTCCATTCGTCTTTTTATTAGAATAAAACTTAGCGAAAATGCAGCGTAAAAGTAATCTGACCTTTAGGAATACGACGTAAAAAAAAATCTCGCCTTTACAAAAAAAAAACAAAACTTGACATTTTATAGCATAGTATTTAAATGTCAAGTCTTGTTTTTTAAATCGCTCTTCTCTCTCAGGTGCTGTTATGTGTAATTTCTCATATGTATTCAGTTAAAAAATATTCCGAGATATTTTTATAAAACAAAAACTCGCCGAATTTGATTTCATAACATCACGTTACCGTAGAATGGCAATAGTTTCATTGGTCTTTATTTGGAAACTAGAAAAGATTTTGTGATGCTTATCGATTTCATTATGGACGATAAGTAATACAGTGCTATACTTTTGATGGACTCATTACTGTTTTCCCATAATTACAGATTTTTGCAGGCGAATGCAAAATCCCTGTTACTGATCAGACAACTATATACTTGAAGTTATGTCCTTCATTTCATGGTATTGAACCACCTAAAGTGGGTTATTTGTGTCATTCCTAAAACATAATTTCAGGTTTCTATGGTTGGGTTGTATAGATTTTTAATTACTGAAATTCAGGCTGGTGTGAGTTTATGATAAAGCAAATTGATTTTTTGAAACAATCGATTAGTGTTGTAATATTGTAGCATTCAGCAAATTATATAAAACTCTGCAAAGCAATCATTGTCAGGTAGAGCCGTATATGGTGCCAATGTTTACACAAATACCACCACCGAATACACTAAATCACATCCCAAAAATGGATGTTCTCTCACAAAAAGTATGCTTTCAGTTCATAATGCTTATCGAATGCCACTGTCCTCAAATTTTTCAAAAATTTTCGTTTTAATCAGTATGAGATTGCAATGCATAGTGTAGTGTAACATTAAATTGATCTCTTTAGTAGTAACTTTTTTAGAACAATGTTTGCTCTTTCAAAGCTGATGTATAATTGCATATTATTAAATGCATATTATAATGCTTTCGATTTCTCTTAGAGTTTTCATAAGTAAGGGTGGTACAGCACTTATATGTGACTTCAGTTTGCATGATGTTTACTTTTATGTGCTGTTATCAGCATATCTTATAAGTATAAAAGATAATCAAAAATCTAAATCAAGTTGCTACATTTAAGATTTAATAATATGTGCTATTATTCAAGCTTTTTATAAGCCACAATTATTCTAGCTAATGTACCGATGGATATGTATATTGTGAGAATAGTTGAAGGTAATCGAAATTGATTCAGAAATATTTTCAATTACATATGTTGAAGAAATAAGGAATTAAATTTGAAGGGAAGTTCGTTCATGATTTCAGATTTGTCCCAAAGTGGATGGTGTACGTTGTATTCAGGAAATTGCCATGATGGTACAAATAGATACTGATCTGGTGATGCGATGCGTTCGTAATCTGCATTTCTACGGATGCTTGACATTAATACCCCTTTTTATGTATGTTAACACATACGTTGCTACCGAACAGCTTCACAATTTTTATATGAACGCTGATCTGATCGAAGTAAATTGCAATATATATTTTTTGAATATCTTGCTTTTTTGTAAAAAGGAATTTGTAATAGAATTTCTAGTTGTATAATTTCATAATTAGATTAGGCGTATATGAAGGAAGTTTTTTTATTTATATACGAAAATTCGATCGTAAATCACACTCTTTCCTATTACTTCGATCATTATTTTTGCTTAGCGTTGATTAAAGAGTAGTTTTCTTGATTGATTTTCAGCAGATGCACAAAGGAAGTATATTTTTAACATTTTCTTGACTTTTTTGCTATTGCCAAGTTAAAGTTTTATTTTTAAATTATCGCCGTTCCATCAGATTTATTTGCTTGCTAATCATTTCATGAATGCTTGGATTTTATACGGCCGTTAAACAATGAAGGAGAAAGCTCAGGTCCAAAACCTTTATTTGCCGACGTGTTTCGATTGTATGCCAGTTTGAAGGTATGTTTCTTAAAGCTAATTTGATAATAATTTTTAAACTAGGAGTACAAAACAAGGTGTCTTTTAGAATTGTGTAATAATTTATCTGGATCATCTCTGCTTGTTTCACTTTCGACTCATTTACAGACTGGCATGACAATGAAAGATTGGTGTGAAAGGATGTCTCCTAGGCAGTACAATGTTGACGAAAGGCGTGCGATACAGTTTGGTGTATGTCATGGGTTTATTCGAAAGCTATATATTTATCCTGTTTCTTTAAAGAAAGGCGATCTACGAAGGTAAACTCATTCAGATGCTTTTCATACTTTTAATGAATAGAATGAACTGGAATTATTTCAAATAAATTTGTTTGAATTCATATTTTCGATCTTTTTTTTGATTTGTTTTAATCGACACATGGAATCATTCATTCATTTAATTATTCGTGAATTCATTTTTTTTGTCGCTGCATTGATTTCATAAGAAAAGATCTAAATTATGAGTCCGGATTATTTTATACTCTTTAATTTATTATTCATATGTAATTTTGATATTTGATACAAGATTTTATGCGCCGAAAAATGATGGTATAACTTCCAAAAACAAGTTATATTACTTGAAATCAACTTTATTTCAAATTTATTTGCAGGATAGCTGAACTTTGTGACGGTACTCGCTCATTGGAAGAGTTGGCAGTCATTTTTGGTGTTTCACCAGTAAAATTATTAAAAGCATTTCGTGACGACGGAAATTTTGTTTTCATATCAAAATAAAATGTTATATATTCCATTTAAAAAATTCAGAATAGATACTTGTTAATAACTTCTAGTCACAAAGGACGAAAGCCTCGTTAAAGGGCCCTAGTGATAGGAATTATTTTAAGTTTTTGGAATATCACCGAATATAATGTCTGAGAATTTCTGGAGAAAATTTTAATTGAAGGATCTTTACGTCTTTAAAAATACAGTTGACATATGATGTTCGGTATTCCATGCTGAAATATCTCTAAAACTCCCAATTATTATTCGTTAATTATGGCTTTTACGTTTCTGCATTAATTGTGCATCTTTTTACGCCTTTATGTTTTCCATTCACTTTCGTTGCATACAACGAGTATCGTTCTAGGGTAAAAATATGCTCGGGCAAAATGATAATTCCGCTTCGTTGAATTTCTGCTGAACGGCTTGTTTGGATTATGAGGGAGTTATTCAGTGCATCGTTAGATTTGGTTCCTGATTGGATAGTGAGCTAGAATTATTTTGAAAAAATCCGATTGGAAATATCTTACTTGGTTCTAATATGAAATATGTTAAATTTCCTCATAACTTTAGCGATTTGAATACTTCCAATCACTGAGTATTTAATTCAATAATGTATTTCGTTGCAAAATTAAATTGAGATACATGATGTGGAATAAAAGGTGTAAACGCAACTGTATGATAAATATGAGTACAAAATAATATAAATACAAAATACATTATATGATGTGCATGTGATGAGCATTTCAAAACAACAGAACAGCTATATCAAAATTTGGATAAATTTTTTAGATGGGTCAATATTACTGTACGGTATAGCTTATATAGTGAGCCCTGTACTTTTTAAGATTTAAACGAAATATCACGTCCAGAATGGAGTCGAGGGCTAAAATAATCTAATATGTATGGATATGCTAATATCTGCTTGTAGAAATTTCCCTTAATCGCTCTGTACTGTTGAGATGTGCTTAATCTCCATAAACTGAAAATTCTGCCAGTTTAACAGATATAGGCTTATGTTGAGATCAGAATTACATCTTTGAATGTTTGCCTTCTTAGCATTGCTTTTCGTTCAGGGAAATAACTTCGTTAATTAAGATTCTTATTGTGATAGGAAATGGAAAATCCTTGTGATATCACTGCGGTCTTAGTTGCGGTCGAGAAACTGAAGACCCTCCCCTATCAAGACCCATTTTCGACCTTGCGTACATAATCCTCAGAGGACTAAGTGCTGTAATGCGGCCTCAATCTTTATTATCGATGAGAATGAAGGTATATTTCCCAAACCACTTCTTTTTTGACATTGTTTTGCAAATAAGTCGATAATCGTAGCATTTTTTTGAATGTTTTTATTTGCAAATGTGCCAATTTGTTATAATTTCATCCCATTTTCTTCACTTCCTTCTTATTTTCTCTGTTGTCATTATTCAAGAAATTTAATTTGATGCTTGATCCGCTGTGTTACGAACGTAGCTATTTTATGATTCTTTTTTAGATTGTCAAATAACAGATATGGTTGCACATATTCCTAATTAAACGGCCTTAGTCAATGATAAATTCCTGACTAGATCTAAATCAGGGGCTATAAAAAAGATAATTTACTCTGATATATTGCAAATTTATTATTACGTTGATGAAAACTGGTAAAGAATTGCTGACCTTTCAATCAATTATCTGGTAGTTTTGCATTTCCTTATACGCTCAATCAGAAGATTCGATGAAAGTTCCTTCGTGCATATTTGATATACTGCGATAAATAGCGATGTTAAAAAAGTGATGTTAAGAAAGCACAGTATGATATCGGAAATCTCGATATCATATTATGCTTTTTTAGCATCACAAAGATTGCTTCAGCAGTTGCTGGATCTTGAAAACTTTGTCCATTCAGCATTTCTTGTTCCAACTCCTGGATCGATTTTTTGGTTTTAATAAATGCTTCGTATATTTTACGATTACGCCCAGAAGTACATGTTGCCATGAAATCACCTGTTCCAAAATTTTTGAAATATGTTTTAATGTTTGGGCCGTAATAAAACAACTCGACTAATAAAATAATTTTCAACAATCCCATCACTATCTGTGCAGGCTGATACTAAGTCTGCAACAGCCACCAATTTGGTGATAATTTTTTACCCGGCAAATATCTAACATTTTCATGTTCTGTATTGATAATTTCAGTAAGTTTAATTCCATTTACTATTTCTTCATGAACCCACATACGTACTTCTGGATCAAAATCGTTTTTGTATTTTCCGGCATTTCGCTCAACAATTACTGTAATCGTTGAATCCTAGTTAGCTGAACCATAAGCTTTATGCCTTATAATAGCGAAGCATCAACACAAATAATAGTAAATGTCAAACAGTGTCGAAGATAAAAATGCTTGATGAGCAACAAATCAACTTGGCACAAAATACAATGAAATGATTTTTGAGAAACTTTTTATTTATAATATTTAAATTGTGACAAAGAAATTTTTCAGAAATAAATAAATTTTGAGAAACTCAAGCAAAAGCAATAAATAGGAAAGTATTTTCTGATTTATAGTTACCTATATGAAAAATTGGAGTAATGATTTGCTAAAATTTGTTAGATTATTTTCCACGTTCTCTTTCTTGTTCGAACAACGCAAATAGTATTTATATCTAAATTTCATCAGTAGTAATTACTAATTAATTAGCAACTGAGCTTAATTTTGAAATCATAGAGAACTTGAAGTTGGAGTTAACTGTTTAGCATTATTATAATGATCAAATTACCAATACCGGTGATTTGATAATCTACCTTAACATTTAGTCAGTCTCGTCATCCTTTTTTCCAATAAAGTTTTTGTTTTTGTGTTACATAAAATTTAAAAGGTAATTCGATTGTGCGTGCAAAAGGTATTAATGATAAATGCACGAACTTACAGTTCTGAAAATAATTATGGTTGAAATTTCAATTTTTCTAATGTGATGAAATAGAAAAAGCTATGAAATAATTTTAAAATGTAATGAAACAATTCATATTCATATATGTAATTTACATTTGCGAAGTTTTCAATGACTCAGTGCGCAAAAATCTCATCGGAAATCGATTAAGCAAATAGAAAGGAAAGTTCATAAACAGAAATAAAAGCGTTGTGTCCAACTATGTCCATCCATACACAATTGCAATATCGGTTGCTACTAATTTACTAGTGAAATGAATGCGATGCTAATTGCGAGATAAGATAGGCGATACTGTGAGCTTAGCGCATTAAATTTCAAAATTTCCTCTTTAAGTTCAGCTACTTTATTTTTGCCTTGACTTTATTTCTATTTAACTTTTTTCAATTTCTTTTTAGGTCAAAGGTTTGAAAACTTCTCAATATTTCGATATCAATCTTATTTTATTCCCAAATTCTTTTTGATCTTATTTCTCTTTTATTTTAAATGTAAATTTGGAAGATTCTAATTAATATATATCATTAATCATGAAGTTAATCAGTAATCATGAAGTTATATCATGAAGTTGTGATTTTAATTTCAACCGTAGTTCTAGATTTTATTTTAAATATAATTTCATCGTTATAATATGCTAAAATTTTCTTACTTTTTACATATAAAAAAATAATTGAAAGAACAAAAGAAAAAAATTGATGTTCAATTTGCTTAAGAAGAAATTTTCAGCAATTGTAAAACTCGTAATAATGTCATCATTTCGTTCACCGATAAATCATTTCCACAGGACTCTGCTGAGTATGATAATTGTTTGCTATTTATTGGTAGATTATGTCGCCAGCATTCTTCGTAAGAATTCCTTTATTCAGAGTAAAATGACTGAAAAAAATGATTTTTATTGATTAGTAAAGCTAATTCGATTAAGTGAAGCAAACGTAAAATTTTAACAAAATGTGCTAATAGTTAAAAGTAGTGGTAGATAGATTGTCTTTTTATATATCATTTGTGAGGATTCTTGGAAAATAAGCTCAGCAAATGACTTTTAATAATTTGAACTTTTGATTTCGTGATCCGATCACTTCGGCATACCTGAAGCTTGTTAGACTATGTTAGATACATTTGATATTCACTTATCTTTCTTCGACGTAGATTGGATGTTTCAAGCATATTCCAAACTTTTGTCTCACATCTTTAGTAGTCCATATCAGTTGGTTGTCAAAAAATTGAAGCATACGAGATTTTTATGAGAATTTCACCAAGCTCGTTGTGATTTAAGAAGGCATCACATCACATCTGAAATTTCGGAGATCGGCTTTCGGGATGAAAAATGTTGGTAATGTCGAGAATTTTATTGTAAGTTTTCCTGATCCTTGCGCAAAGTGATGCTTGAAATAGTTGGAATGATAAATAAAAGGATCAAAAATCATTGGTGGAAAATAGATACGGATGAAATTTCTTTGAACCATTTATATGAAACCATTTGGCATCCATTGACATCGCCGACAATGATATCAGGTCGTGTAGCATTACACATCACTGATAAAATGTTTCAAGACGTTGCTAATATATTTTAAAAGCATACGACAACTGATAAAGTTGGATGAAAAATTTTTTTAACAAATTGCAACAATTAGATTTAAATGTTAAATTTCAGCCAGTACACTAGAGTCAGATGAACTCGTTGACCCTCAAACAACTGCTTCATCTTTCTGGTAATACGACCAATACATGAGGCAAAGGTCAAGTGATCACACCTAGATAAATGTATTCGAAAGACTATTGCAAATGTATATATGAAACGAAATAATATTTATTAAGACGAGGAATATCGGCTTCACAGCAAAATTTTAAGATTGAATGATTTAGAGACTAAAATAAGATAAAAAGAAAATAAAAATCAGAAAAAGTAAAGTCGAAAAGATAAAGTATGAAATGAAATATCATATATTTTAAGGGAAAAATGGACTGACAACAAATTCACTTAATAGAAATTATTATCATTTAATGATTTGAAATTGAAATCATCCAAGCACAGGTTGTGCAACTTTATCCATCAGATCAGATCAATAAATTTCTACATTGAAAATAATCTCAAATCTCAAATTGTGTGTCTCCGAAAAATAACAGCAATACAAATTAGCATTGAACTGAAAAGACTGAACCGTTTAATGAGAAATGATTTTGAAATTTGTATTTAGGAATAGCTTTTATCAATTTGAAATATGAAATGCCATATGTTAAATTGTAGATGGATGGCATCGTCGCTTAGCGGTGTCCAGTATGTGCCTCTCTGTTCATCTATTTCTGTACGACAAGAAGCATCACAAGTTAGCATTGAACTGAAAAAGCTGAACGGTTTAGTGAGGGATGATTAAATTGAAATAAGACAACAGTATTGGTGATGGAGAGAATGAAATCTCTCTCTCTCTCTTACCGATGGTACCTCTTCAGTATATTTCACTTACTTCATATTATTCTTTGATCCTCTTATATATACATTTTATTCTCGTTGTGATGATATTGAAACGAAAATCTCTTTCTTTTCTTCCGTTTGCTTTTTGTTACTAAATTTTATAATTCTTTTTTACATCCGATATTCCATCATTTTAATTACTTCTATAAGGCGACATTTTTTCAAATTCTTTTGCGCCTCAAAGAAATCACCGCCATTCGTTGTCATTCATTGTCACCGCCATTGTTTTGCACTTCAACAATATACTCATATATTTATTTACAGATTATAAAATTAAAAACTTTGAAATGTTACAAATGAACTTTTGTTTTTTTCTCAGAAATCTCTTCTCTCCTCTTAGATTTTTTTATTTTGCGGAAATTTTTGAGAAGCAAGTTTCTATAAAATTTTCCAAATAATAATTGTTTGGTTGATATTAATATAATTACAGGTATATTCGATAATTGTGGATAAGCAAGAATAACTTTTCTCGAAAAGTTTGGATATAAACTATTTTTTTTCCCTTCCCAACTTTTTGATTATTAGAATCTTTCGTTAACATTCATTAATTAGCCATTTTTGATTATTTGATTATTCAGTATCTTTCTTCTTCGGGATTATACTTCTTTTGTGTACTATATCGACCGTTATATTTCTGAATGAATATATCGATCGATCAATGAGGCAAGAGAACTGGAGGGCAGTTTGACAAAGGTCAATAGCCATTGGGTTTAGTGGACAAGTGTGACCCATTAAAAATGCTTGCTCTTGGAACTATTCATTTTCTTATTATATTTGATCGATTATTTTTTATGTTTAGATTTTGTGAATTTGTTGCACTCTTCTATCTTAATTTTTGTTTGCAACTTTTTAAAACTTTTTGTCTAATAATTTTATCGAACTGTCAAATTGTAATAACGTTTTATAATTGCATATAGATTATGTGGGAATGATTTATAAAATGTAATGTGGCAACAGATGGAACTTAGACAATAATGAATCAATCATTATTTATTTCAGTTACACAAATTTCATAATAAATAAAGAAGATTTGAAATGTTACAAAATTCAAAATTGATACTTTATTCTAATCATTAGGTTTTCATAACAATTTTCTTAATTTCATTATTTTAATTATTTTCTTTAAGAGTTCTTTATATGACATTCCTCATATTTATTGCAAATTGGAAATCAAATTTCAACAGAAGAGGTGGTGATTTCAACGAAATTTAGATTTTTTTTGGGGTGAAAATATTAATGATTTGGCTGATTGATGTGGTGAAATGAGCTCTGATTAAAATTATAATTGGAAGAAGTATACACCTGCATCTACCTAGCTCTGGCTATTATCAATCCCACACTAATTAGGAGATATACGGCAACTTTTGGAATTTTCAACACTTTTAGTTTCATGTTAAATATTTAAATTCTAAATATCTATGTTATTTAAATGCTTTGAATACTTTTACTGAAAATATACTGAACTGAATTATTTCATATAATTTAGTTTGTTAATAGATTCCATCAGAAGGCTTATTTTTCATCATGATACAATTTGTAAAACCACTGCTTTGCAATCAATAATTGAACAATTTTGTACTTCAGTCTAACACCCACGTTGCAGTTTTTTTGGTAATTGAAATTATTTTCTTGCTTTATATTAGCAATTGTTAGTTTTATATGAAATTGCTCAACGCAGTTCTGTTTCACAAAGAATTTTATGATTTAATATTTAATTTATTAAACTCAGCAAAATAATTGTTGTTAAATCTAATATATGTTCAGAATATGTTTACTAAAATTTTTATGATTAGAGACTCGGTGATATTGAAGTAAGACTCTTTTATCAAAGCCTAATTCAAATTCTGACACATTTAAACACAGCCGAAATTTTCAGATCGTTTAAACAAAAATGATTGGTATTCCATTGATCTCAGAATATATCCATCGAGTGGTAAAGCCACAGATGGTTGCTGATCGAGTGGATTTTTTGAATTATTATACAACATCTTTGTTATTAGCTTTAGTGGCATTGGCTATCTCAGCAAAACAATATTTCGGCTCACCAATTCAGTGTTGGGTACCGATGGAATTCCGAGGTAAAAAGCTATAATTTTCACCGAATTTGTTTATTTGCTTGATTATGGATTACAAAAGAAAGAAAGTTGGGAATGCCATTTAAAAAAATCCTCTTTTTCAGGTGGTTGGGAAAAGTATGCAGAGGATTACTGCTTCATTCAAAATTCATACTATATTCCGTTTGCGGAACAGATACCAGAAGAACTAAATGAACGAAAAGATCAGATCAGCTATTATCGAGTACTAACACTTTCCTCAACTATTTGACATAAAAAGAATAAAATTGAACATTTTATCGTATTCGAGAATGGTACACTTCTATAATAAATTAAAGTGTAAAAATAAAATAAGCATGTAAATAGCATGTAAAATGAATTTATTGCATTTCAGTGGGTGCCAATAGTGTTAGCATTACAAGCTTTAATGTTTTTTGCTCCGAACTATTTTTGGAATATTTTATATAAAGAAACAGGTAATTTCTTGGAAACTTTCTTTTGACAAATGAGTGAACTTTTTTGTTAACTCTTTGAAACCTATTTTTACGACCATTTTATCTTCGTTTATTTTTCTTAAAATTAATTTGTATATTTCATTTTTGAAAAACGAAATCTTATTTATTATAATAAATTAAAACAATTGTAATCATTCTACCTGCATCTTTCTATTATTTAATAATATGAAATATATTAATTAAAGCATTCATTTCATTGATCTGAAAGACATTCATTTTATGATTTGATTTTTTTGAAATTTTATGATTTGAAATGGATAGTTATTTAAAATTTCCATTGATTTTTATTGATTAAAATTTCAACATTTTTCATTATTTCATTATCTTTTCCAGAACTTTTTAATTTTTCATTTAAAATTTTATTATTCTGAATTCTTTATTAGCAATACAACCGCAAGGGATTGTAAAGGAAGCTAAGAAATGTTCTACTTTACATGGTCACAGCCGTGATGTAGAAATTCATAATTTGGCTGCATATATTAGCGATACAGTATCAATTTTCAACTCTCAAAAAGACCTTAAAGTGGTTAGACTTTTTATGAAACTTATACACTTTTTTAAAGTTTTATTTCTATGATTTTTTTTCGAATTTTATTTTTCCTTACATTTCAAAAATTTGAATATTTTTATTTTAGGGATTTACTCGATCGGGCCGTAGTGCTACAATGTTGTATTTGCTAACTAAGCTTCTTTATGTGTTGAATATTATTGGTCAAATTTACATGTTAAATCACTTTTTCGGTGGTCACTATTTGCAATGGGGTTTTCAGGTGCCTGCCTCATTCATTTCTAATTCTCTTTTTTTTATTCCAAATAATTCGATGATTACATTTATTCACAAATCGATAACATTATACAAAGGTATTATTATCATTGATGATATAAGATTTTTGACCAATGGAAATCAAATTATGATTGAAACTTCGGATTAATTTACTATTTATTAATAAAACATGGAATTATTACAAACTATCTGAGTAAGACAATATTTGCCGATTATTCAAAATAACGTGTTTACTTGCTGATATTTCAGTATTTCAGTTTTTCAAAATAATATTTTTATTGTTGTTTCATTGATGATCGAAAGTTAGACCAAAAAAATATTTTGTAGACAATAACGGATTTAGTATCCGGAAATGAGTGGATGGAATCGTCAATATTTCCACGTGTTATCATGTGTGATTTCCAGGTTTAGCTTTTTTTTGTTCAATAATTTTGTTTGAATTTATAAAATTTCATAGCATGTCCGAAGCACTTCATCTAATAACTATGAAGTTCTCAAGGAAAGGTAATTTTCTCAATTTTAGGTACGTCGTCTGGGTAATATACAACGTCATACTGTACAATGTGTCATTATGATGAATATGATCAATGAGAAATTTTACTTATTTCTCTTGTTTTGGTTTATTTTCGTAGGTATTTGCACGTTAATTAATTTTGTATACTACCTTTTTTTGTTGTGTCTGTCAAGAGCGCGTGCGCGATTGGTATTGTGGAATGTTAACAAACGTGAATGGAAGGTATAATTTGATATTTGCTTTTCATTTTTTTTGCTTATCACTGCATTAATTCGATATTTGTTAGGAAGATTAAGATTCTTACTCTTATAAAATATGGTTTAAGTAAACAATATTTTTGATTTTAATATTTTTGTGCGAAACGGTCAACTTGAATATTTCATTATTAAATTTGCGCATCTCATTTCATTAATAAAATTATTTTATATTTTGTTAATTCAAATGAATTTCGATATCAATTAACTTAGCTTTTTGTTTGGAATCTTAATTATATCATTAGTTTATAGATATTGAAATATATGTTTAGTTGTGCGGATTTCATAGCGATGATATGAAGCGTTTCGTAGAGGATTTTCTTCGACCTGATGGTGTACTTCTGTTGAAATTCATCAGTGAACATGTCGATGCTAGAATATCTCGAGATCTTGTTAATGAATTGATCCGAATTTATTCAAAACAGGTTCAGATTTTGTAATTAAGATTTGTTCTTTCTACTAAGCAATCTGTCACTTCACAGCAAATTTCGTCTGAAGTTTTGCTGCACTTCTATAAAATCAAAGCTTTTTGAATTAAAAGTTTAGTTTCATTTAAACTATAATGAATTTCAACAATTCTTTACAGCAAAACATAGCCATAGAAAATGACAGCAAACAAACATCGAGTGTATCCTCAGATGAGAAGGCAATACTGATCAACAATAAGATGAATAAGAAGTATTGTGGAAATTTCGGAAAAAATATTAAGGTTTCAGTTTCACCTACCATCCATCTTTTTCGGCTATACCATTTATTTTCATTTTGCGTTCGGTTTTTCTACGAAAATTTTAGTGTTTTAAAAATTTCTCAAATCTTAGAAGATTTCATGAATTAAAAAAATACATAAAAAAAATGTTTTTGCATTCTGGGAAAGTTAACTTTTTCCAGTCTCTTTACTCTTCAAAAGGCAATATACCGATACCAAGTCAAATGTTACATTCACCGCCCTATAGGACCAGCTATGAAAGTGCACCTGCCCTAGAAGATCTCGTCGATGGAACTTTACCTATTCGAGCGATGGCACGCGCTCGAATTACACAGCCTCAAAATCATTCCACCGAAAATGTTTATGGTAGTCCTGAATCGCAGTTGCGACAGAATACACCTACTGAAGTTTAATTTGTCAATTAGATTGCTGAAAACGTTACGTCTAATTTAATTAGATATTGATTTTGCTTATTTAATTTTGTTTGTTTCATTGTGTTTTGGCAGATCAATGAATGCTTGAAAGTGAAATTTTGTTTGCAATAAAAGATAACAATTGAAGGAATCATTGATTCCCTTAAATATATTAATAAAAAAGCGTTTCAAAAAAATGAGAAATATTCATTGAAGTATGGAAAAAAGCCAAATGTACTGTCGAAAGTTCTTTTTCTGAGATAATAAATTTCTTTTTAATATTTTCATTTTAAACAAAATATTTTTTGAGGAAAGAGAAATTGGCTTAGAAAGTTATATGTAATCAGAAATATTTAAACTTTAATTCTATCTTTCGATTTAAAAAATTGATTTCGATTTATCAATTTTTAATTTTTCTTTTTTCATTCTATCTTCCTTAACTGAATTACATTGTAATTTACATGTATTTAATTTACAATTAACAAATGAAACTTGGACTGTTTGTGATATTGGAGAACATTTCTCCTTTTATCGAACTTGAACTTTTGAATGTTCAATTGAAAGAATAATTTATACTACGATTAATGCTTATGCATAATATTTAGAGATATATTATTATATCGGAGAGGAATTATCTTCTTTCAATTTTATGCTTTTGCTGAAATGATATTGCAGCCACTCACTCATTGTATTTATGTGGACATTCCAATGATGGACCATGTCAAATATCACACAGCTTTCTAATTTATTTAATTTATTCTTTTAACAATTTCTTTTCAAAATCGTTATGATTTGTGATGATCCTTCTACAATTAATATGAAAGTGAACAACGATATGAGACATCACTTACCGTATTTTTGGTATGGTTCTGCATGGATCTTTATTTCATTCATTTAACAATGCTTTAATTATCCACTTGTTTATCTTGTTTGTTCGTCAAAAAGGCTTTTCTTGTTTATTCGTCAAAAAGATTTTTCTTAAATTTAAAGATATTAGTGATAGTTCTTAGCCATTTCTATTACGCCGAACATATTCACAGGGTGTTGAATTCATTATTCCGATGATATTACTTTGATTCATTATAAAAATTTCATAAATAATTTAAAATATTCACAGATCCATAAAGAACAGACCACAAAATGTCAAAGTCAATCATTATAAACGGATAATTACTTATGCATAACAAAGCATTTACTATCCAGCAGTTCTCTTACTTGATTCTTCCGATAATGGCCGGTTTCCCTCGTCTTCTTGTTCTGTAAAAATTGATAGCTGACATATTCCTAATTAACAGTAATTAATGTGACTTCGTATCAGTCCATTACGGTGTGTATAAAAGCCAGGAACTACATCGAATGTATAAAAGCCAGGAACTACAAATTATTCTGCAACACAATGCTATTACTTTGCAAATAATCTATTCACCTCTCAATATTTCGAACATTTTGATTAAAAAAATCTTAAACCTTCGAAAAGTTACCTTTGCTGGAAATAATGCTATCGAGTTCTTCAACAATTTCCTCAAAAATCTTTTCAAGATTGTTGTCGCCGTCAAACTGAGAAAAATTAAATTTTTATTGACAGATTTCAATTCTTCTATCAGAAAAATGAAGTAATACTAATAATCATTCTTGTGTAATTAAAGATGAACATTTAAACTTTTTTAATTACCTATTTTTGAAATTTGTCAAGTATAACGATAAAGGAAAAGTTTGGATTTATCACTGATTTATTGTTTAGATCAAGAATATAGCAATTTGTTATAAGCAAGCTTGATAAGATACTTTTAAAATAATTTAGATAAAAGCAATCTTTTTCCAGAATATCTCAGATTAATATTAAGATAGAGTAAACTTTAATTCATGCATACCACTTTAAGTTTTCCTTTTTCATCGAAATATTTTAGCATTGGTAATGCATTTTGTTTGAACATTTGTAAGCGAGAATTTATTGCTTTCGCATTATCGTCTACAAAATTAAGAAAAATATTTTTTATTTGGAGCAATTAAAAAATTTCTAATTATTTAATATGATTGATAATTTAAGAATTCTAAGACATTTAACACATATGCCTATATCTTTTACTTACTTTCCCTGGCTGTCATTTGATCTTTGCTGCGTTTCTCAATGGTTTCAATACAAAATTCTTCAGTGCAATCGATCAAAATTACTAAAGTAAGTCGATCAATCTGAAATAAAGTTATTTTAGTCGCTCTTTTCCAGGATGTTTTATATCGTTGGAAACTTGTTATCGAGTCATTTATTACCTGATTTTCAAAATCGATAGCTTGTTTTTTTGTCCGCGGATAACCTTCAATAACATAACCGTTGCAATCATTATTCTCATCGTAAATTTTTGAATAAAGCAATTCACGACAGATTTTCTGAAATAAATGGCATTAAAAAGAAAGTTCTAAATAATACATTAAAATATAAAATTTCAAAACAATCTTCAAGACAATAATGAATTTGAAACTAGGAAGTGAAAAAAAAATTAACTTATCCTTCAGAATCAAACATTAAAAATAACTACCGTAGGCACGGGTTCACCAGCATTCATTTTCTGCTCAATTCTCTGCCACAATTGATCATCAATATTTGCTTGTATTTCTTTTCTAAGCAAATCACCCATACTAAGATACATGAAACCATCGTATCGGTTGGCTAGATATTTTGAAATTTCCGCTTTATTAGAGCCTGGAGGACCTGAAGCATAATGCAAATATTTCATTTAAAAATTACGGTAAACTGTCCAAAAATTAACAAATTAGTAAAAAGAACATTTATAAATGTATGTTTTCAAATTTGAGCATTAAGGATTTTAGGAATTCGAGTTTGATTTTCCAAAATTATATATATTTATGCTTCAGATTTTATTAGTCTAAGCAAGTAGTCAAACATAGTCTGAATATATGTATGTAAAAGAATAGGCTTCGCTAAAAGCACACTCATTTGACTAATAAAACTGAATTTCTTACACCTGGTGACAACAAAAAAACACTGCTGATAGTGTAAACATTTGATTTGATGAAAAACAGTACTTATTTCAGTGTCAATATGTTTAGTATATAATGAAATATCCGTTGTTCTAAACCTATTCAAATAATTCGGCATTTCGGCAAAAGAATTCATAAAGAAAAAAACTTATCAGGTATTTCAAGCATATAGGAAATAATTTATTCGAACTCATACGATGCTATATTCATTATAAAATATTGAAATTTCACGCACCAACAATAATAATAACTGATGCATTATTGGGTAGACCGAATGGAAAACGGTTATCCGAATAGGTTGCTGATTCATCAGTAGCTTGTTGGGCTAAAACCGTAAAAGTTTAATAAAAAGAGGACGAAAAAATTATATCAATAATCTAAATATTAATCAAAAATACGAATCAAAATTTTGTTTGAACTAAAAACTGGAATTAATAAATAGAGAAACGGAAATTTCAACCGTCTTTTTATGTGTCTCTTATTTTCATGAAATAAAAGAGAGATAAAATTTATGAAGCAAATAAAAATAAAATATTGAATTCCTAAAATCTGTAAGAATTTGAAAAGTTAGAAATAGTATAATCATTGATATTTAACATTATAATCTGTTAGGGAGAATTGCAATGAAAATTAAGAACATCAGAATGAATTTCTCTACTCTGTCTTGGAAGATTGTAGTAGTTGGTAGTGAAGGCACTTCAGTGTGGTAATAAACACTTTAGTTTCCGTAGCGCTCTCTTACCTACTAGTTTTATTAATTGGATTTTTCCGATTTTCTGCTATTTTTATCATTTTATTGTTAATTGCATTATTCGGTAGCTAATAATAAGTAACTTTCTTGATTAGTCACTGAGATAAAACTTTGAATAGAAAATAGGCGTAGGCATATCAGTCTCAAGTTTTCAGAATTTATTCCGGAAAACTGATTACTATTTTAATATCATTAGCTATTTGTTTCTATTCCTAAAGAATTTTCACAGTACGCTTAATTTAGCTGCTGAAAAGGATTCATATAGCAGCAAATATTCCAGCTGAATTAAGACTATTTATAAGAAAGAATAAAAGTAAGCTTAAGAATAAGAATTAGGAAAGTTAAAAATAATCATGCAATATTTATGATCATTATAATTAAAACATTCTTACATAAAAATTAAAGTTTGAAGGAATGGCAAGAATAAACTCAAAAACTTCTTGTATTTCAATTTTTGCATAAAATTTTAACAAAGATTATAAAACGGAGAATTCTTATAATCATTTGGAATAAAACTTACTTTCACTTTTCACACTATACAATGATTGGCGTTCACTCTTGGCGCTATTTACAGATTGACGTGATATTTCAGATGATTTTGAAGTTTGCGAAACTATCCTGTGAATTTTGCCTGACGCCTTTTTATTACCTGATCTGGCTTAAATTTTTTAGCAGCATTAAAAGAAATTACCGAAAACGATAAGTTTGTTGAAAAAATACATAAATAAATGAAGATTCATTATATTTGTTTTGTGAAATAAAATACTTAACAACGTGCGCAAAAATATTTTAAAATGATTTTAGAGTTTTTGAAAATTAAAATAATATTTGCAAGAGAAATATTATAAATACGCGTAACAAATTCAAACTACCAACATAATTTTTAATTCAATCTATTTTAATTAACTATAATTTATAATCAAATAAGACATGAAAAGCTTCTTACTTGACTGCTTCGATGATTGTGATGATCTTTCTACATTTGGTCCATTATTTGTCGTAATTGGGCTTGTTGGTGTTGATTGTGCTGCAGTTTCTGAATTAAATTGGGTCACAATAATTTGGTGTAAGCAGTGAAATTTTCCTTTTTTTTGGAATAATGTTATTCAATTTGTTTTTCTCTGGCTATTATCGTCATGAATATATTTAAAAGTTCACCATTGATTGCTTCTGATACTTGTGATATATTAGTATCTGGCTTTATCGCAGAATCATCTTTCGCTTCTCTAGATTTTGATTCATCACTCTAGAAAAAGAATTAAATTTTTGATTAATTCATTAACAGAAGATTTTCGATTGGAAACTTAAAAGCATTCCAATGCAAATTTTAAAATTAGCCAAAATAGACTACACTATATAAGCTATTACTGAAGTTATAATGCATTTGAAATAGTTGATGTTTGTAATAAATTTGACAAGAAAAAGATAGCTTAAGTGTGCTTAAGCTTAAGTGTAATAAAGAAGTAAATAAGAACAAACCAACTTTAACTAATATTTTTCCAATTACTTCTCTATTGGAATACATTAAAACTTTAATCTCTTTGATATGAAGCTAAAGAATAATAGATAAGCTTCATTGGAGCAAAATGCAACAAAGTGGGAGAATTTATATTGCTGCATCAAAATAAATTGTACCGCATTTTCTTCAGATGAAAGTTCACGTTTTGACGCCGTTGATGGCTTATCTTTTTCTGAAACTTCACGTTTTGACGCCGTTGATGGCTTGTCTTTTTTTGAAACTTCACGTTTTGATGCCGTTGATGGTTTATCTTTTTCTGAAACTTCACGTTTTGACGCCGTTGGTGGCTTGTCTTTTTCTGAAATTGATAAAACTTGAAAATACTATTGTTAACTAAAAAACAAACTTTGATTTCCCTTTTTTCTCATTTTTATTCATAAAGTCAAAAAGCGACCTGTTCCTCAGAACTTACATTAAAAACATCTATAAATCTAAATAAAATTGATCTGTTGAAGATTTTGGAAGTGCGATTTATTTATAAGTTCTCAATTAAAATTTCCCTTTCCTTTCCAAATGGTTACTTTTTGATCATTCACTTACAAAATTTTACCGGATGTCATTTCTGGTGTGATCTTCTCAGGTAATTTTGTTGTAGTATTTGTTTCTGCTCCTGTAATACTGATCGGCCTTTCATCTTCTATTTTTTCATTTCCTTTTATTTCTGTTTTTGTCGCCGGACGTGATTGATTTTCAGAAATTTCTGCATTGGCTACTGCAGCTTCTACAATTGCTGCAGCTTGTGTTACAGTAGTAACCTAGAAATTACTTTTTTAAGCCAGGAAATAATTTTTTGGTCACATGGATAGTCCTTAACTTTATTTTGTTCTTATAAAATTTCTTCAAATTACACATGAATGTTCTTGAATAGAATATATAGTTTTTTTTAAAACTTATATTTGATGAATTTCCAAGTGCTTCTAAAATATTGCATCATTTCGTTGCAAGCTTAAGCATTTTCTAAGTACCGAATCAAGTCGTTGCAGTGGTGATCCTGTTCGTGAAGCTACTTTTGAGGTTGTAACGGGAATTCCAAGTTCCATTGCACGTTGAATCAGCAATTTCATCCGTTCAAAAATCCATTGATCGCTTTGTTCACCAGGTATCTAGAATCCCAGAAATATTTTAGATATTCAAAAAGTTTAAGAGCGCCATTTGATAATATTGACAAATAGAAAAGTATGCAAAAAATAAGCAATTGGAGAAATAATTAGAAGATATTTTCGAATAAAATAAATCGATTAAAATCAAATACATTTCAATTAAATTATTCCCATTCATTTATATAAAGTTATTGAGCTAACCAAATGTAACAATCGTTGATCATCAAAATATTTGGCACTTGGTAAAGTTTTAAGCTTGAATTCACGAATTTTGGCATCAATCACTTCGACATTTAATCCACGACTTTCCATATGATTCCGTAGCGTATTTTCATCGTAATCCAAAATCATTGCCATGTTTATAGGTCTTACCTAAGTTAATCATTATATACAATATTTATTTTTCTATAGATGTTGGAAGTAATTGACTTGAAGATTCTAAAATTTTCTTACTTCGCGTTCGAAATTTTCAACCTGACGTGCTTCACGTGGAAAACCTTCAAGGAAGAAAGCTTTTGCATTTTGATGCTTACTCATTTCAGCTTTAACAAGTCCAAGCGCCAAATTATTCGGTATCAATTCACCTAAAATATAACCAAAATATTTATACAAATAATTTCATTCTTTTTTTATTTTAGTAATCGAACTTTTAAAGTACAGATTTTCGAAAAATTCTCAAAACTATCAGTCACCGAAGATGATATAGAAAAGATTCAATTACCATATTCACATAACTTTAAAAATTGATCAATTTTACATAAATCGAAAAATTTTTTTTAATTTCTGAGATTTGGTCTATTCTTAAATGCGTGGTAAATATGAGCACTCATACGCATGTATGCGCAATATGTACTACTATAATAATGCTTATTAAAGTGTGGTAGCTAAAAAGTTTTAAGAATACCAAAATGGACCTCGTTGATATCGTTCTGCTGCTTCCTTCCATTCTAAATCAGTGTTCTGGTATTTCGAGATCGCTGCACGAATCATATCAGGCATGCAAATATGCACAAGACCAAATTTATTTAAAGCTTCCTGCACTCGAGCTGCATGCCGTGTTTTGCCACCTCCTGGACCGCCTGCATAAGAAAGAAATATTTCAATACTATTCTTAAATATTAAATTTCAATTGTCTTAACATTAAAAAAAAATGTATGTCAGAACTTTTATACTAATTTCTTTCTCGCTTATCGTATCATTACATAAAGGTTTTTATATATTATTGCAACGGCTGTAGGAGTAGATCTGCACAAAATTATCTGATAATAATTCTGAATTCTGAATTTAAATTTCCAGCATTATTTATTAGAGATCATAAAATGCAGAAATGAGTAGAAAATATTACTTCAACTTATGGTCAGGCAAAATCGATAGAGTAATATTGTGTTTAGTTTGGCTTAAAAATTATTCCTTATATATCTAACTGAACTTTCATTAAATTGCTATAAAATTATTTGAAAGTAATGGGAAAAAAAAGATGAAAATACCCATAAATAAAATAATCGGTACATCCGGTATTGACGCCATTTCAGCAGCATGCATAGCGGATGATGGTCGAAGTGAAGATCTATCACTGGTAGCAACCGTAGAAGCAACCGACCTATTAAGATTAACTCTGAAGTAATGAACTTGCGATGATTACGCAAATCTACAGTTAATTGAAGTATTGTGAAAAAATCTGAAATAAAATTCTGGAATGAAATATTGCGAAAATTGCTGAGTAGGAATGTTTGATTCATAAAAGATAAATTTGTCATTGGCAATTTGGAAGAATGGTAGTAGAATATTCATTGAAGTTCAGTGAAATTAATAAAAAAGAATGGCTGGAATAGGAAGAAAGTAAAATAGAGCTGTTGGGAATATATAAATTCGAAATTAGGGAAGATTGGAATATTTATTTGTAATCGAAATCGTAAAAAAAAGTCGAGCAAAATGTGGCTGGTTTGAATTCTCAATTAGCAATTTCAAAGAAAAGGAAAACGAAAGTTATGAAAACTTATGATTAATGGTGATAGGTGATAATGATAATAATGATAGTGAAGCGGAAATGTTTTGCAGAAAAGATTTTGAAAAATGATGGAAGCAGAAAAATCCATACAAAAAGTATTGCTGCCTATTCTGATCTGAGATAAGTTCAAGAAGAACAAAAATGATACAGAAGATATAGAAGGAAGAAGTAATTTAAAAACTTTTTAATTTTTAATTTCAATTTCTTTACAAACGAAAAATGGAAGTGCAAAGTTACTTAAGAAGAAAAAATGCAGCGAAGATTAGAAAATTTTTTAAAAGAATCAATGGCATATCTAATTATCGTACTAATTTATATAATATTTGATTGTTCTATTTCTAATAGCTTCCAATTGAATCAATGAAAGCGAACCTTTTAGCTTGTTTAACACCTGACGTCCGAGTCTTTGATTTTGCTCCTTTTTTTGCTTTTTCAGACTTTTCAGTTGGTGCAACTTTCAAACCTAAAAAAATAATCTTTAAATCTTTAAATTCATGTTAAATTTTAAATCTCAACTTCTGCCAGCTTGATGATATCTGCAAATACAATATTTTTTTATTAGCCTTCATAGAATTAATTACCAGACGTGCATTTTCTAATCCTAGTTTGAAATTTTTTAAATTATAATACTTGCAGATATATTATTTCGATTGAAAAACAAATGAGAATCAGAGATTATTGAATGAAAGAATAATAAATTATGCAAAGAAAACTGACAACAAAAACATTCATTTTAGTTTTAGTTTTATAATTAATTCATTATTTTAATTGAAGAAATTTTTTGCAATTCAAAGCATTTTCTCTCAAAGAATTCTTTCACAAAACCAATTTCTTCCTATTGATTGATTGGTATTCAAAGCAAAATTTTTTGCTTTTTCAGTAAAATTTAAAAAAATATTCAAAATTTAAACTCTCAGAAAATATTAACAATGTACAGCATTTTATATTAAGTATGATTAAGGTAACGATGAATACTAACAATTGTTATATTTTAGATCAAACTATTATTTAACAAATTTAAATAGTCTTTAAAGCTTTGAAAGTAGAAATGAATCCTTTTTTCCGAATCTCAAAAAGTAATTGGAAAAAAAGCGAATGGGAGATAACGGGTGATTCGGTATTCTTGAGATCTATTGCTAGAAGTCTGATAAAATTAATCAAGGATTTTTGATGAAAGAAATGCAAAATTATTAAAGTGACACACATTACGAGTGTAAAGGCAATGAAAAGTTGGTGCAGGTAGAATAAAATGAAAAGAAGAAGAGAATGGCAATAACTGAAATAGATTACTTATACTTAGGAAAATGAAAAGTTCTTAAAAAGTTGCTTTGCTTGTTGAGTCATGGTATGCAATTATATGACATGATACGTTAAAAAAGAAAATTGAGAGAGCAATTTGGCATATTTAAATTGGTACATATTGTCACACTTTCAAACTTTCTTCATTCCTTGTCAATGACGAAAAAACTATTTTCCAATTTTTATTTATGTACATTGCTTTGATATGTTTATTTTCTGTTGACGATATGCGAAATGATACGTTACAAAAAAATCTGAAGGCATAAAGTTTAGTCTTCTGGTGCAATATACGATATATTAGTAAGATTGATGGATTAGGCTATTATCGAAAAGGTATTATTTCTTTGGCTCATATTTTCCTAAAGAAATATATGAAACGGTAGGAGTTTCATATTTTTTATTCAGCAAATCAACTGACCAGATTTGACCGGTTTATCATATTCTCGAAGCACTTTATTGTCAACAAATGAATCCCATTTGTATTCAAAACTTGGATTTTGGCGTACCTTATCAAGGGAATTTCCCAAGAATCCAATTGGATCTTCTGGTTTGTTGCAAATCAATCCAGTTATCAGACTCTGCAATTCCATTATCTGACTTTCGTCAACATATAATTTAAAATTTCATCAAAAAAATTATTTCAAAAAAAATTTTTGTTAAAATGGAAGGAATATAAGTAATATGCTAATTATCAAAATTAATAATCGTTAATTTTCAATTTTCTAAAGTTAAGATTTACGAACAAAGATTAGAGTTAAAAGTGTAGGAGAAGGATAATATATTGGTTAGAGGCGTATTGAAGCTATTAATGTTTCAAGGAATTTTTTTTGATCTTAGTGTCCGATCGCTAACTTCTAAATTGTTTGTAAATGTCAGATAAATAACTTTGCTTGGTAAACTAAATTCAAAGGTAGTAAATAAGGAATTTTTTGCTAGTGTCACAGTCACGTCTTGTTGGGATTGCAATTTTTGACAGATCTAAATTTGTAAGTTTTGCTAGAAAATATCATTAAGAGGAATGTCTGTAGTCATAAATCTAAAGTTATCCCGGGCGATGCCAGGACATCTCTATGACTACAAAGAAATAATTAATTTTCAATCTATAACTCTTTCAAAATATTTGGTACAATTTTTTTAGTTTCATCATATTATGATTGTTTCATAATTTGCTATCTCTTCTCGCAAAATTGATCGCTACATCGACGTTTACATAAATCCGATTTTTCTAATTCTCTTTACAGTTATTTCTTCCTCACTATATAACAATAATTCGAAACATCTAATTGAGTAAGAAATTTCTGAAAGGTGAACAAGTTTTTTAAAAGAAATAATTTAACGTTAAGAAATTTAGCAAAAAAATTTATATTTTATTTAACATTAACAAAGCCATTAAAATATGCGTACAAATTTATTATTATTCATAGGAAGTAATTTTAAAGACAGAACACACTCCAAATGTAAGTTTTATTTGAATTATATAGATATATCTACAAGCACATTCTATATGGATTGTATAGATGTCCAAAACTGACCACAGATAACCAAAGGACAACTAATCGTGAGAACAATTTCCAAGCCAAAGCTTATAAGTTTATGAGCGGTAAATTCAGATTTCAATATGGCCTTATTAAACCAACTTTTAGATTTATTTAAAGCTTATAGAAATGAGACTAAAATATTGTATCGTTTAATAATTATAAGAAATGGTAACAGTTTTTTCTCGGGAAAATTTCACAAAATCTGTAGATTAACTGAATCTTTCAACTGATTTATTGTGAATATAAAAGAATTCATAAACTTCCAAGCTCAAAGAGAAATTTCGATGTATTAAAGGAAAATGAAATGAATAGGAATAGAACCACATAGAATGAAATAAGAGTAATAAAAACGGATAATATAGATTTTTAAAAGTTTCCTCGTTTACATCAATTATTTTAGCTTCAATTCAGCCGAAAATTGCTGCGCAAACTTAAGGAAATGGGATGATATTTGTGCTAATGCAATGCTGCAAAAAATTATTTGCAAGATATTTTTCATTGAAATTTTTGGAATTATCGATATTTTTTTAATGAACCAAAAAATCGGCTAAATGACTAAAAGGATAGAGCAAAGCAAAAAATATTATATACTGATAGAAGTGCTATATAATAATAGTGAAATATCTTCTATAACTTCCATATTGATAAGCTTTTTTATGGGAATTTTGACCTTCTTAACAATTGTGATTGATTTTCATAGCTTCTTGTATACCCTCCTAATGCTAATATTGATTGTTAATATTGATTGTAAAAGATCTGTGACCTTCTTAGATACGATGTCTTTCTCTTCGCCAATATTGATTGTAAAAATTGATATGTATGCAAAAAAAAGTTGTATAAATGTGGGAAACGCTAATTCGACTAATTAGAAAGTTATGTTGCTTTCACATCACTTCTTTTTCAACTTTATTATCCAAATACTGAGTTTGCAAACGCTGGCGTAAATATCTACTAAATGTATAAACGATATAAAATGTTGAAAATGACCATATTTTATCTCTTATCTTTCTTCTAATTTTCCCTGTTTGTTTTTACTTAATTGCTTAATAACTGATCATTTATTTAATCACTTAACTCACTTTATGCTACCATCAATCTTTCTTAAATTCTGGACAAGGACCGAATTACTTCGCTCAATATTGAACATTGTAAGAATTTCTACATGAAACGGATACTTTACCATAATTACATAATTTAAAATTATTATTGATCATATCAATATAATATATCACTCAAGTTTTTCGCCAATGATAATGGATCATCAAAAAAGTGATTTTCCGGTATTATAAGGAAATTTTAGATAATTTCTTTTCCTGAATACGTTATAATCACATATAATTTATAAATTTAATAAATTAATATAAAATTGAAAATGAAAAAATGAACCTCAAAGAGTTGCGGTATAGCGTGTTGTTGAAGATAATGTTTAACTTCTGCACCCATTAATCCTTCTTTTACGCTTAAATTCAAAATTCTGCTGAAACCAAAAATTTTTCTGTTTAACGAGCATTAAAATTATTTTAGAGTGTTGTTAATCTTATTTCCTTCATGAACAATACTGATTGATTAATTAATTGGAAATTCGAAAAAAACACGTAATACACGTATAGCTTTATTTTTTCAAAACAAATCTCGTATGCTACTTATGTGTATCGTATTCAAAGATATCAAAGAACTTCTGCGTTGATGACATCAATAGAAGATTTTGCCAGGTAAAAATAGTAATTAAAAAAATTGTCACAGAACATAAATCACTTCGTTATCTTTCTTTCAATGTTGTATTCAATCTTTGATTTTGACATCTCTTTATTATTTGAATTTTTCATTAATAACTTCCAGATGATGAACTAAGAATCACTTCTCCTCTCATGTCACTCTGAAGTGACCATTATAACATCGAGGAGAAGTCGATAAAGCCATTAAAGTTTCTATGCACGACACACATTTTAAGTTTTATTTTGAGCTACCTAACACGAAAAATCAAAATAAATTTATTTAGACAAGAAGAATTAGCCTAATCATTTTAGAATGTTGAATAACTATCTATCTTAACATATATATAATTGAAGCAATAAAAAAATCAATAAATCGAAATCGAAACTTTTCCCTTAAAAAAATGCAATGTTTTACTATTCCATTATCATATCAATAGTAGGAAAAATCATCCTCTTAATAGTTCCGGTAAATATTTCAAATGTGTTTGCAAAATTTTAAATCTTTAATTAAGATAGTTAGCAATAAAATAGTATCGTGTGGCAACAAAATATTATAATATTTTTTTCTCTTTTTCCATTCAAATAAGTTATTTCTTTTTTTTTGAAAAGAAAACATTATCATATTATTTCCAGTAGATAATTAATGATTTCATATCTTATAAATAAAAAAATATTATAATATCTTTATTTTAAAATTTTCCATCCATCGCCATGACAACAGTATAATGTGGCAACAATGTTCAAAATACAACAGATAATTATGAGCCATTTTCAGGATGCTTGTTTAGTTAGCTTTTTTCATATAGCTTCTATAGCTTTTTAGTTATGTTTTTCAAAAGTACATATCAAATATATACTTTATTGATTGGTAGGAAATATTGTGAAAACAGAAAATGTTTAATCGTTAAAAAAGAAGAAATGCAATTTATCATATCATCGAGTAGGGTGATGTTTTAGCTTAATATTATTTCGCAAATGTGGAAGAAAAAAAGAAGCAATCGATCAATGAAGACAATAATAGATACAAGTTAAGGCACAAATTTTTAGGATATGAAAAAAGATTAATTCTACGATCGCCAAATCAAAAATGAAGTAAATATAAGTAAGGTCGCCTTTTTTTCTACCTCTCTATCTTCTTCTCCTCAAAATTTCTAATATTTTGTCAGCACAACTTCCGTCTCTTCTATTTTTTTATTAAAAATTGAAATAACATAAATTAAGACAATCAATAAATAGCCTAAATTTTATAAAACGATATATTCATAATCATTAAAATAATCATTTTACCATATGTAATTAATTAGTCAACTACTATTTATGAATGATATTATTTGAAAAGATAGGAATATTTAAAGATTTATGCTTATTAATAAAACGCCTTCTTTCAATTCATTACATATTGGTTAAGCTTCTCATTCTATTATTTTAAATCAGCTTTGGTTGCTATGACAATTCCCTTAAGTTGATTGGATTTAAAATGGCAAATATCAACTAATGCAATTCATACATATTGAATGATGAAAATGTGATAAACAACACATATAATAACACGTAAGAATGCTACTAATTTATATTATCACTTATCATTCATATACATTTTATCTTTTTCTATTTTAATTTAACTAAAAAATTGAGACGAAATAATATAAAACTTTTCTCCTAAATAATTTTTTAAATTTCAAACTGCTTAAAATTTACTATAAATATTACTTTGTTTGAAAAATAGAAAACATATTTACAATATGTATGCAATCATGCGTGAAAATTGGTATCAGACGAAATGCGACCGACCAGCTGATAATCGAAATAAACGCAGCCATTTGTAATAGTAACAGTACGACCTTCTGCTTTGGCTTTTCGTATTTCTGATTCCAAAGTTAACACTTCCACACCTGGTGGGGCCTTGGCTAGAGCTGTTGCTTGCTCCATCATCATTGCTACACCCATCCTAATGCCATACCTGTAAAATAGAAATTCATATATCCATTTCATTATATTTTCCATAAATTTCAGAGATAATATTTACATCCAAAATAATTTGAAACTTCTGAAATGCTTCTGCATTATGATAGTTTAAATCTATCATTGCTGATAACTTTCTATAAGAAAATAATTTATATATTCTTTTTTTTTAAAAAAATTGTTATAACATACTTTTATAGTATATTTAAATCTTTCATTAAGTTATGAAAATTTTGTTGATTTTAACTTTTCAATTTAAATTTAAAATTTAAATTCAATTTAAAATTTCAACTTCGCGTCTTTCAATGGTTTAGCACAATCATTCTGCAAACTCATTTTCTTTTTTAAAGGATAAGCGTGGAAAAGAAGAGAGAGAAATTTAAAATTCGCTATCCTCTTTAATAAAATTTTGCTATTTTAACACTTGAAATGAATAAAATAAAATTTTTGTTAGATATTATTAACCTTTTAGTCTATCCTTTAGTTGACAGATAAATAAAAGATATCAATAATTTTCACCAAATAGAATACATCGATAATATTAACCTTTTAGTCTATCCTTTAGTTGACAGATAAATAAAAGATATCAATGATTTTCACCAAATAGAATACATCGATAATATTAACCTTTTAGTCTATCCTTTAGTTGACAGATAAATAAAAGATATCAATGATTTTCACCAAATAGAATACATCGATAATATTAACTTTTTAGTCTATCCTTTAGTTGACAGATAAATAAAAGATATCAATGATTATCATCAAATTAAATAAATCAATTCAACTATTTATTGGCAATTGTATTCGTAAAGAAAGCATTTTAAAAAATATTTTTCTTTTTCAAAATATGCAAATAATTTAAAAGTTTGTGTATTAAATTAAATTAAAATTGAAAGTTATCGAAATGAAAATAAAAAACATTTAATGAAAGTTAAATGATTTTTTGAAAAATTTCCTTCTAAATTTCATTTATTCGCTTTGATTTTAAGAGAATGAGAATATTTTAATATTCGATGAATTAAACCATTTGAAATATTAAATCCTATAATTATCAATTATTTGAAACTATCGCCTCTCTCCCAAACCTACCTGTTGTGAAAATTAATGGTGAATGATTATTTAATTAATTACGATGAAGAGAAAAGCTCTACGAAAAGAAACATAAAGACTTTCCCTTTATTTCTATTTCCATAATTAGTAAATGGTTAAACTTTTTTGAACTATAAAATTTACTTTACTCTTCTAAAATTAAGAAACAACTGAAAAAGGCCTATAACACATTACTATACCTATTTTCTTCATGCCTCAACAATTCGAATGGCAAAATAACAATTTGGCAATATTATAAATAATATATTAAGCCATTAATTATTGTATTGAAGTGAAAATATTAAATGAACAACAAAATTTGATAAACCTACTGGTAAATAAATGATAAAATATAGTAAAATAGCTGTAAAATGAGAAGAAATGTTTTCTTTGAGAAAAAATATTTGTAAAAATACTTTCAATTTAATTCGATTTAATAATGAAAATTCTTTTATATAAAAACATACTGTGAATTTGGGAGCAAATTATGATCAATTAATTGCTTTCGCTCATTATGATGATGTAATTGATGATGTTGTAAATAATCAAACTGTTCCATTTGCTGTTGGCCATCCGCTGAACAACATAAGCCCATTTCATCGGAATGAATTTAGCAATGAAAATCGGAGAATTATTCCAAGGTTCTAGCAGATTACATAGCTTTGAATAAAAATAATTGGCACATGTCAAATGTTAGAATAATTTAAGGACAGTGAAAAGCTGAATCGGTCCATTAAACTATTGAGAATTACAGATTGAGTCCTGAATAATAGCACCAACTCTAAATCAAGTTAGAGCAAAGATGCCACCTCCCATTTGTATTGATCATTACAGCTTCGCTCATCCTGGAAATTACTTAAATCTAATTCAGGCTTTTCGAGGCGGTGAAGCATTAAATTAAACTTCTTGATTGGAAGATGCTCAAAATATAAGCATAGAAATAAAAAAGAAATCGAATAGACACAGAGGAAACTGTCAGGCCCTCCCATATAGCCAGCCATTTATATCTAAATAATACGAATGGCTTAATGTTTCAGCAATTTTGCTTAATTTAAAAAAAAAATTCGACACGTTAATTATCCGTGGGAAAATAAAATTTTATATGAGAAATTTGACTGCGTGAATTATTAAAAATTTGCTGGCAGTTCAAATTGTCCAATAAATATTGCTTCTGTAGCGTGGTGGTTCAATATGATTGATAATTGAAGGAATAAAAACGATATTGCTTTTTGTTAGTTGACTAGAAGCAAATTATCAGAATTTTGAAATCGAATTTCTTGAATAACGAAATCAGGAATTTTGAAATTCCATTGAGTAAACTTAAACAAACTAGTTGACGGATCGTTTTTAGAAATAAAAATGTGGATGTTCAGCCGATCGGGCTAGAAATCATTCCGTCAGATCCAGTCCCACCAACTAACTCATCCAATTTTTCATGATTTGTCAGAATAATCGCTCCCCGCCCCTAAATCAAATCAGTTTTTCTATTTCAACAGCTATGCATTCTTTGAATTCTTTTGCTCAACTTTTATCAAATATTCAGCCAACTAACAATCATTAAATTCTTGTCAATTTTGATATTAATTGAGTGATAGCAATTTCTTATTCTGTTGCAATCGTTTCAGATCATTTTACTTCCGGTTTAAAAGTTAGCTTATTTAAGATCAAAAAAGCTGAAAAATAACCGGTAACCGACTCTAAAATTCAATTTTTTTAAATTTTTGTGCTGCTTTTCCTTCTACTTATTCAATTCTAGCATACAAACTTGTTCAATTTTAGCACTCAAACTAAATTCTGATCCGGAGCTGAATCTTTCATTTATTATAATAATTCAAACTCAATTGCTTAATCTAATAAAATTTTTGAAAATCAAAACAGCCATAGTCAAATTGAATATTCTAAATTAATCAATGTATGGACGAATTGTTCCTTCTTGATCTTTTCATTTCAGTAAATATCATCTTTCAATTAAAATCATTTGACCAAAAAGCGATAATTTTGTTTAAATTGACCATTACAATATCTTTGTTCGTAACAGTCATATTTCATTCCTTTCATAAATTTAAGAAATGACCGAAATTCGATCATTCATTTCAGCAATTGTCTCCTTTTCTTTTATTTATTGAAAATAGAACAAAATATTATTAACTGCAAATCATATGTATGAATTAAGTTACGCAACTCGGCCATTTTACTAAACAAACGCGTTTTTTGAAGGATTTAGCGTTTCAGAAGAAGGCCGCGCAATATACAGGCACATAAATTGGATTTTATGACCTTCAAAAGTTTTGTTGTTGATTTTTGTGCGGTAATTAGAGTTTTGCGCATATCTTGAAATTGCGCTGCTTTATAGGAGATATGTTAAATCGACGGCGTCGACATCAGACGCCAACGTTCCTGGAAGGTACACCGGGTAGATACCTAAGGAGAGAAGCACCCCCGTCTCTTCCCACTTGCGATGGTCAGTTTCTCCACTGTTTTCTCTTTTTATCATTTTCCTCCTATAGAAATATGCTAAATCATTGCTCAGAAGGGTATCAGTAACTATTGAAAGAAGTTTCGAAAAGCCTTGGAGATATTGAAATATATGCCTTACCATAAGGTTGTCGAAATAGTATGCTCTGACATAGGTTAGTCATCACTTCATTTCGTCCCGAATATTGTTCTCTCAGCATTCTAATCCCACTTTCTCCTAGCTTTATGTGGAATTTTAATTTCTGGAAGAATTCTCTGGAACAAGCATATTTTAGGTGTAATTCAAGGTATCCAAGCTGGTTTGCAGCAGCTGGCCCACTCATCCCAAAGCCTGCAATATAGCGGAAGCGATGTCAGCAGCTATCGGGTGAAGCGAAATTCCGTTCGTGCAAAACCAGAACTATCGTCACAAAGTTTCAACGAAAGTCGAACATCCAGCCAATACTTGTCGAAAAAGGGTCTTACCTCGTCACTTAGCATTGGTAACGTAGTACAGGTGTGATAATCTTGACATCCTTTACCGGTTTATCAAGAATGTTCGGCATTTGTTAGATCAGTGAAAGAGTTGTTGATATCAGTCGTAATTTAAGCATGGTACGCAAGCAGCAAATACAGAAAATAGCGAACAGCGTTTGGTATCCATTTCATTGCAGAGTTTGCCAGGTATCTTCGTGTATTGTTGAGTCGAAATTTTTACGCTCCAAGCCTGCTAAACAAAGCTTGAAATATATTTTCACCGAAAGAAATCTAGACCATGAGTTTGATTTATTAAATTTGCATCTCCTCAAATTAGTGAATATCCGTTGATTTCCGCAGTTTTGTTTAATAAGTTATAATTATAGTCACTAAATTATAGCAAGATCTAGGTCGTTCGATAAGTGCACCATTTGCTGGGGAAAAACTAGCCGGTGGAATGCCCAAGGAAGACCTCACATTGCCACCAAATTGGGCTGTTGAAGTGACACCAGAAGGAATTCGGTCTATTTTTGCAAATTTTTTTTGTTCTAATAAGTGCGATAATTGATGCTGCGTTTTTGCTTCTGAGATATTGAGCATAATATTTGATTATTCTTTGTACTGTGAACACTTTTCAATATTTTTCTGCAAACAGAGATTACCTAATCAAACATATATAATCCTGTTAATCAAATACACTGCCATACATATCTTGTTTAGAGAATTGTTAAATTTTGAAATAATTTTTATACTTGAAGTTTGATATACGGATCCTTAATATTTTCTTGTCCGTTTCGATAAGATATGTTTATATGTGTCTAGTATCCTTTTATTGCTCTGTTACAGTTATTACGTGGACCATAATAATCGACGCACACATTGGATTCATCCTCTTGTTAAAGAAAATTTACCTTTAGGCTGGACAAAGCAATTTGATTCGATTAATGGAGTAACATATCACAAGTAATATTTCTGGTGATACTACTTTTACTTTTGTTGGAAATAAGAAAGCTATAACTTTTCGCAGCATTAATAACATGGAAATAGGAAAAGCGAAATAAAACGGAATCTTTAGTAACTTAGATGGTCGAATGCAGTTGGAGCATCCTGGCTTAGCGACACCTGTAAATTGTGCACAGAGTAATTCTACAGCTCATTTAACACAACGTGCCGAAAGTACGATTGAAAAATTGAATATTATTGGTGAAGGTATGTTAATTATTAATACATTGGTGTTGAATATAATTTAATGAGGAATGATGTAGTTTTAGAAATGAAGTTTCACTTTTACACTATATATATATATATATATTATATATTTGTTTGCAAGTTTGTTCCCACTGAATATGGTATTTGGCTGAAGAGCGAACATTTTGCTATACTTGATAAGATTTTTATTGAAATAATTGTATTTCGATTGTATGAATTTTTGTCTAATAAAAAAAAACTTTTATCTCTGTTAGTTACAGATATACCAGATTGGCTTCGTTTATACTCTCGCGCTCCGTATGAATTAGATCATTTGCTGGAGGTTAGTTCATGTTTTTATAATTATAATGTTGGAAGCACGAATATTTTAAGAAACAACCTACCGAAATTCGTAGAGGAACATAAAGGATCATAAACCTTAGTTTGAAAATTGACCCACCTTTTATTATTTCGCACGATATATTGGCCTTCGAATACAAATAATAAAAATGACTGGATTACAGTGGCCCTTATTCCGCCTACCTCAACTGGAGCAGTATGATAGTCAATTAATGAAGCTATATAAGCAAGAAGGTATTGATATTGCAATCAAATATGAGCGTTTTCGGCGTGAAATCAATCGCGAAATTGCACGGCGGCAATCAAAATTTCTGGCATCTGCTAATATACTTCAATAGCAAAATTGGTTGTTGAATTCGTTCAGTTTCCGGTATTTTTTTTGAGGGGACATCTTTTGCTTTCATCACCATTATAACTTTTTGTTCATTGAAAACGGTTAAAAATTTCTCAATCTTGACGAAAAATTTAATTTAATTTTTTTATAAATTTAATTTTATAAGATTTAGTTTATTCTACTTTGGTATCTCCTACATAAATATATCTCTGGAAGAAAATATCTGTGTAGTCGCTTGTCTAAACCTACGAAGGAATCCATAAGTAATGCTTAGTAGTAGAAGGTCCAATTTTATTACTATACCAAAGATATTCGTATTTTTAGAACTGCCTATCCATTTCATACATTTTAATATGCATTAATATTTACTATTCTTTTGTGGGAAATGCATTTTTCCTGATCCTTATTCATGTGAAGGTCTCTACACAACTCTTACTGAAAATCGATATTTAGTAACCTTAAAAATCTAATGACTGTAACTAGTCCTGAAGATGTTATTTTTCCACGTTCACAATATATTTCATGTTGCCAGTGCTCAAATATATTTCAATAAATTACTCAGGTTTAGCATTAGGGAAAAGTCCCATTCATTTTGGGAATAAGTCCTAAAAATTTCTCTTATAATGTGGTAACTGTTTCATATATAAATATAGCATGTTGCTCTGTTAAATATTTATAAATTCCTTCTTATATTCTGGGCTGTTTTGGAAAAAATCTTTTTTATATTGTTAATTTAAATGCCCAGTTGCGCTCAGAATTTGCAAGATTCCAGTGACCAATATAATAATCTGAAATCTCTGCGCTCGTATTAACGGTTTTGTTTATCGACCTCATAGACATATTGTGTGTGTCTTACTGTTTTTTTCTGGCATACTGCCTCTTTACCATATACCATATCTTAACATATTTTTTAGATCCTATTCTGGTTCACAATTTGAAATTGAATTTTATGCAAGTTAGACTACGATGCTATTATGAAGCGCATTGAAACATATAGCTATTTTTATTTAATCAGTGCGCATTTACATGTTTATTTATTAGTGCCGTATTTATATGTTCTTAATCATGATAATAAAAAATAACGGTATCGCTAGCTGGAATTGAAAGTGATAAATCACTAGAGTTCCATCAGTGACTAGAGCAAAGCCACGCAAATCTAATATAAACAGTGACTAAACAATAAATATGGAACAGAAGTCATGGAAAAGTAATGCGGATCGGATATCACAGAGTTGAGAACGTATCGACTAGTATTGCCAAGAAAGCAAGCAGTAGAAACACAAAGTGCTAAACGTAGTAGTTAGAGAGAAAAAAGTGAGGTTTAAAAAGTTAATTAGTACAGTACCGGAAAGGATTTGGTATTTGAAAAGGACAGGAATGAGTGGAATAAAGATTAACACCTATAAATGATATTCTTACATGAACCAAAACCATACTTTCTGTGGGTGCTGCAGGATGGTAGCCATATCGTTCGAGACTATCGCCGAGAGCAGTCAGGGAAGAAGTGGTAGTGGATTGGGTTGTCATGTATTGTACGACAAGTTTTATAGGTTGCACCGTTTAGCACTTTTTCAACTCTTCATTTTGATGATCTTTCATGAGAAAAGTAGACATGGCGAGGGATAGTTATTCAATAGAGATACAGACGTTGAGGGAGTTTAGTTTGTTGTCATTTAGAACCACTCATTATTGAATGAAAACATATCAAAGGTTTACATAAGATGAAGTGTTGAAGATTTGTGATGCCCGGATGAATCTCGGTGGTCCGAGATGCAGGCTTCAAACCTGTAACCGTTTAGCGACGGAGCGGTTCGATTCCGCCTTCTGGGTGTTACCACTACCTTTTTAGGAATTCAGCGAACCAAATTATAACCGATTTGCAATAAATATAAATCTGAACTAAACATTAATTAATCTGTGATGAACGAAATGAAGCGAACAACAAGTCCATTCCTAGGAATATAAGACGACGTCTCTAACTATTGCGCCTTTATTAATGTTATTTATTAATTCCGGAATGCAAATTACGCTGAATCAAAAAGTTACGAGATAATACAACGAATATTTCAAAAAAAAGAGGAACGATCATGATATGATTAAAGTTGTATTTGATTCAAACATTTAATATTTCATCTCAAATCTTATCAACAAGTGAAATAATTACAGTTTTGATAAGTAGAAAAATCACTAATAAGTAATTTTAAATAGAGATGAAATTATATTCTTATTCAATTAATAAAAAAATAATACATACTTTACTTTTACTAGTATTTACTTGAATGCCAGATATTTTTTATGAGATATTTATAAGATGAATGCCAGATATTTATAAGATATTTTCCATCTGGCCATATACTGTTTCATGAAAATTCCACGAAACAAATGATGAATAAAATATTTGTGTATGTCGTGTAAATTTGAATTAATTACGGATCTTTAATGTTCTTGAGCGATGATGCTAGTATGGAATTTCTGAAGCATTTTTCCAGAATATTTATTGAGAATTTATCTTAACAGTAAAGAAGGTGTCCCTATATTAGCATTTGTACAGCATGTCGTTAAATTCTTCAAACATAAATTATATAACCTCAGAGCATTAACTTTGATTAATTGTGAGAAGGAAAGTTAAAAGAAGTGAAAAATATATCAAACAAAATATATACCAAAATCCAAAATTCGAATCAATCGGATAAGCTAAAAAGATTTATATGAACTTTAATTGTATAATATTCAACTTATTCTATATGCAGCAAAAAGAAGAGCAACAATAGCATATGCAAATCACAAAACAATTTTTGATTTCTAACATTCTTGTACTCTAATAGAAATGATATGTCAAACTTTTTCCATCCCTTAAACACCATCATTCCCTCTAGTATTAGAATTATGATCTTTTTGCTATCTGTGATTACTTAATGATAAGCAGTATCTCACTGGTGACTGAGAAGTGAATTTCAGCAAAATAAGTATTTGCGTGCAATTCTTAAAAAGAAAAGCGTAAGAAAAATTGAAATACGACAGGAGAAACTTGTTTTCCATAAAAAAATCGAACTTTCAAGTGATATTAAAAATATAAATTATCGATTAGTGAGAAAGATTATATAACAGTGCTACATTCTCATGCCCCAGCAAAATCTTAAAATATATAATTTATAGATAAAATTTAGCACATTTTATGAGCTCTATTGAATAAACTATCACTTCGTGAGAATGAATGAATGAAATAGTGACAGCTATGATAATATATGACGCATTTCCTGTTTGTTATCCAAATTATAAATAACATTGTAGCACGTTCAACACACTGGAAATGAACGCTTTGTTAAAGAAAACTTCAAAGAATCATTTCTTCATCATGAAATGGATCTTGAATATCATAATGCAAGGAAAAGTACTTCTATTTGTTTGATATGGATAAGCTTTTCACAATGTTGATCTTATGTCTATTGATTAATTATCAATTATGTGAACTCTTCTATTAATTGTCTATTCTCTATTAAATTGCAAATTGCTTCTTTAATCATATTTCTACTTTTTGGAAAAACACTAGAAAGTTTCGAAGTAAAAATATGACGAAAATTAATTTGTCTTACTAAGAGATTCCTATCCTTTGAAAGCATCACCATGATGATATGATGATTTAACAAAATGAGAATCTAAAAAGAAGTAATTCACTTTTCTATCGTTTAATTCTAATTGTTATAAAAATCAACTAAGTTATTCATCGACACTAATTTGAAAGTGGTAAAATAGGAAATATGAAGTGTAGTGTTGATTAGATCAAATCACTTCATCGACTTTGAAAAGTGTATTTTCAAGGTCTTCATTTATTAAATTTAATTCAAATTCATTTTTTTTTAATATGTTCAAATTGCTTGTCATTCAATAAATTTTATCTCTAAAGCTTCTATTTGATCTTTCTATTTGATATAACAATAGCGATAATTCATATTTTTATAAAATTTGATATGCAATCATAGTATCTTAATAACACAACATTCTAATAACTCGGTAGTTCTGCTACATTCTCCTCAAAGGAATTGTAGTGAAGACTGTGATATTGATCTATCCAAAGTTATGTTAATTTCCTCATGTAACATTCCATGGATGTTAACTTGTCACATGCAGTAAAGCTTATCTCTGTAGATTAGAATTGCATTAGACATCAGTATATTTGAGACAAGCATCTTAACAATCTGACAAGAGTCCTTTTAGCAATCTTATAATTATCTTCACTTCTATTGAAGTGTCCTTGTGATGTTAGTGTATATATGCACAGCAATTTTTATCATCATCATCATCGTCAAAACACTTTATGAAACCCATCCAATAACTATATTATTTATATTTTTAATCGTTTAACCTTTCTCGACTATTTCAAGTTTGCTTAAAATCTTTAGAAATATTTAATCAGAGTCCTTTAATATTCATTACTTATCCACTTCAATCTACAAATCGCATTGTGATGAGATGCTGAGAAGTGAAGTAAACAATAATAACAATTATTAAAATAATTATTTATTCATAAAACTACTCAATTTTTCAATAGTCTTCTATAATTAAGATAAGAAAAATATAAGACAAAAAAAGGAAAAATGAAATTTTAGATGGATACAATAATATCATGCATCATATATTCATATATTTTCTTATATTTTGCTCATCATATATTTTGCTAATCGTCATTCATTTCGTTTACAGCTTGATATTATTTTCATGACAAATTTTGAGAGTCTTACTTCACTGAGTTCTTCACTCTGTCCTCTTTCATTCAATTATCATTTTGGATTTTTTTAGTTGTAAAAAATTTTAGAAAATAAAAATTCATTGCACGTATATGAAACAAGAAGAAGGAACCATTACATGCTATTGAGATGGCCTAGAATTGCAAGACAAATTTTAAAAGAGATAAAAATTTTCTTATCGTTTTCCAAAATGTATGAACATAAGCCTTAAAAATAATTTTCGAAATTCATCAATAAAAAACTCATTCCATGCCGAGATAATTGTTTTTTTCATAGCTCAAAAATGAAATAATGATCGATAGCAAATTATCCATTTTATTGCAATTTTTCCTAAAATATTTTTCAAAATGAAAAATTTTGATGGAAGTTTTGCTAACACGGTATAAAACAACAATCAGAAACCTCAAAAAGATTTTATTTTATTTAAAGGACTAAAAATTTGAATTAAATATTGACTAATCGCCTTATTCTTGACCAAGTGACGAACGACAGGAAAAACCTATCATCAGTTTTGTAATAATATTTTATTGGCTTTGATATCATTCATTTTGACAAATTACTAGTCATTTAGCTTTCCATGCCATGCATTTCAATCGCTTTCTATAGTTGTAAAAATAAGTCCTTAGCAACAGTATGCTAGCACTCCTTCCTAATTTTCGTTAATTCCTATTTCTTGAAAGGGATTAAGCCGAATAAAAAATTAAATGATTGAAAAAGAGACTGTGTAAACGCGGAAATTAATAAGATAATATAATTTGGTGAGAATTAGGTCTATAAATATTCATATAAGAGTAAGAAGAAATGATTATATAATTTAAAATGAATGAGTCGATGCTGAAGATGAAAGTAATAAGATGCGGTTGTAAAGTATTTAAAATTTTTGCGAAACTCGAAGATAATCTTAGCTTAGTATTTGAATCGAACTATTAATGGAAAATGATTGTTTTAAGATAAAGTATAAAATTTCATTATCTGAATCAGTGGAATAACTTTTGAACATTTAGTTATAGAAAAACTTTTTGTGTATCTATCGGAAGGAAACTTTTATAATATTTCCGATGAATGTTGAAGGAAACATTCGATCAACAAAAGAAATGAGAAAATATCTGCATTAACAGAATATTAACTTCATTTGGATAAGTATGATTAACGAGATGTAATAGAATTAGACTCACTCACATTTCCCAAGAAAAAATATTAGAGTCCTCTGTTCCTTGCTCTCGAAAAAGAAGAGAGGGATTAATCGACCGTGCATTTTACGACCTGCAATATTTGCTTAATTTGTTTAAATACTTTGCCTTATTATTGATTATTCATCCTAAGCCAAGCTTAATTAACTAAAATTAAACAAAATTGTTAAGTGAAATTATCATTGAAATATCATTCCAGTCAGGGAATGCTTCTCATTGGATATTGCATGTTATGTTTGGCCATTATAATTAAAATGAATACAATAAGATTCAAGTAAATAAGAAAAAAACTTGACTGATAATTTTAGTTGTTTTATCTCGAAATGTTAGTTATGACAACAAGAAATTATCGCTTATGTATAGTCCAAAACATTTAAGTCCGATTACTGGCAGAGAGATAAGCAGTACCTTCCTGACCAATTATTCATCTAGAAGACCAGCTGTTATCTTCATACCACATGAAGAAGTTGAACATTTGACATTTCCTTCCTTCTTCAGGTATTCAAAGGCCTTCCTTAAGGATAAAATCATCCCAATCTAAATGTATCACAACGTATGATCGCTCGTAAACGAAGTTTATTGCCGTCTCTTTCTTAAAATAGGTGTAGCTGCATGCACAGTGATAGTTTTGTTATTGAAAGCGAGTTGACAGTTTTTGGTGGTAAGGGTAATAAATCACGCAATGTTAACGCCCGTTCAATATTACCTATTCCTCTGCAATGCTTTACAGAGTTGTGGGTAAGTTTTACTACATTAGCTTCATTTGTCAGCTTCTTTTCTTTTTCATAACTGCACCGTTATATTTGTGGAAAAAATTAGCGTCGCACAGGGAAATCTTAGATTTGGCAGCATGTAACAACTTCTTCTTTAATTTTAGGTAAAAACAACGTGCTTTCGAAATGAAAGTAAGGATTAATAGAAATGGGAAATTCATAATTAATGAATAATGAGGAATTACTGAGAGTACTATAATTAAAAAGATTGTGCGAAAGATCAATAAAAAGTGGTATGATAAGCTAAAGTTACATTTCACGATGTTACTCTTCCGTGAATTCAGGAAGTATAGATAACTGTTCAGTTTTTGTTTTTCATATTCATTAACTTTGCACTATATTCTCGAGAATTTATTCGAGAAATTAATGTGTTTGGGATCAGTTAGGATGAGGAGAAAAGAAAAGGTTTGTTCCAGTTTGATCATTAAAGACAACTAACTGCTTGTAGATGGAGCCAAATTTTCACTTTTCTCATTTTTCTGAAAGTTTCAATTTTATAAAACTTCTATGCTTCTATTTCTTTAGGTGGAGCATAATTTTGTGGAATACTCTTCGTGGTTTATTGCAGAATGAAAGCTATCAACAGCTATATCAGTCGTGTGAGCTAGAATTACAGATCTTCCAAACAGCTGCAGTTCTTGAGGTTTGTTTATAATAAGTTGACCTTTGATGCCAAGCTCGCAGTTTTAATTATCAGTAACTATGAAATGGAAAGGTTGTGGTACATGTGAATTAAGCGTACTTTGGTTTTGGAACTTATGCAGAAATAGTGAATTACTTGGTAATGCCCATATAGGAAGTCATTCTTCAGGTATGCGAGAAACCATACAATATAAAACTGTCTAGCATGCGTGTGTCCTGATAAAACCAAATTTGCGGTTTAAAATTTCTGACGTTAGTTGAGCCCTTGTTAGTTGCTTGAGTCTGTAATTTCAAAACCTATGATCATGTCCTTCAAAAATACAATTTATTTTCAACTGATCGAAACAAAAAAAAATTATTTCAGAAACAAGTAGTGCAATAAGAGGCCATGTTAATTTGGAAATTGCGCCGTAAAGTTGTTGTGGCTCTACACTTTTGATTTACCAGCTTATCCATTCAGCAAATTAAAGAAAATTAATTTGTTAATAGAACATAAATTTTATTCAGATTGTTCATGCTGCTGCGCGTTTTGTTCGATCACCCGTTGGGACCACAGCAATGCAAGTATTCTCACGTGTTTCACTTCTCTGGCTTATCTTATACAAGGTTGTATCGGTAAGATATTTAAAATTTTTCTGTTTCCCAAAAATTTAAAAACGAATTTTGTTTACACTTTGTAGGATTTGATAAAACTGTCATTAGCTTTATATGTACTTTTTTTTCTATTTTGCATTCACATTTTAGCAAATTAGTCGAAAAATATTGGTGTATGAAACGAAAAAAATTTAAGAGTTTGCAATTAAATGTAGGCTTATGCCAAGTTCTCCAACTTTCCCAGTTGCTTTTTAATTAAATGACGTTCTAAAAAGTTTTAAATATTTTAATGCATTTAATTTAGTGATTTACATATGCTTTCAAGTTTTCACTCCTTTCAGGCACAAGCAAGCATTGGTGTACTGTTTTTGTTGATAGCGTGGTCGATGACCGAAGTAGTACGATATAGCTATTATGGACTGGCTTTAATTAATGCTGTATCAAACTTTCATACATGGCTAAGGCAAGTTTTGTTATGCATATCATTAGATTCAAGTTGCAATTTGGAATTTTTATCTTAAGTCTTAGTTGTTCAGTTTCTTTCCCCTTTCCATTTAAGTTTTTCCTTTCTCGATGTGTTTGAAAAATCTGTTTGCTGCATATGTTTATTGCATTACGAAGAAAATTTGTATAAAATTGAGGCATGCTTGGAAAAACTTCGTAATTCTGTTTGATGTTTACAGATACTCTCTTTTTATTGTGTTATATCCTTTGGGTGTAACCGGTGAGCTTCTGGTAATCCTGGCAGCTCTTCCTGAGGTTTGTGATTCTTCTCATATTTCAAGCATTTTAATAAATTCTGAATAGATATTAATGCTCTGGATTATTATCCAATTATGCTGCTATAAGTATAAACGATTTCCAGTATTGGTTTACTTAATCATTTAAACCATCAGTGATATCTTATAGGTCAGTGCGAAAAAGCATCTCTCTGTGGAAATGCCAAATATAGCAAATATTGGTTTTTCTTTCTGGTGGTATCTTGTTGTTTATATGATTCTTTATATACCAGGTTTGACCATTTATTGCTTTGCAATTACTCAATCTTTAATTCAGCTTTGAGGTACCAAATATGTTATTAGCCATAATTTTATTAACCATTGTTTATCAATTATTATCTCATATTTTCTTTTGATTAAATTCTTCATGTCAATGAAGTACTGCATAATGAAATATGGAAAGGGCATAAGTTTGTGGAGAATAAAGTATAAGAATTGTTCTAGTCCTCTTTTTTATTTTGAGGGGTACTTCTCTTTCATTATATAATTAGTTCTATTAAATTGATCATCTGAATTTTATAAATCTGGAATTTTAACTGCTGAGAGATCAGTGAAATTCATAGCTGTAACTGTGGAATCAATATTATACAAACATTCTTTTTGCATCTTCTTTCTTAAATTAGAAAGCTATCCACTAACTCTTCGTAGAATAAAAAATTATTGATTTTTCAGGGTTCCCGCAAATGTATATGTATATGCTTAAGCAGCGAAAAAAAGTCCTTTCAGTGGAAGTCAGCAAAAAGTTCAGTTAACTTTTCTATAAATTTTGGTGTTTTGCATGAAAACTACAGAATGATCCGTGACAGATGTATCATTCCATACGATTCGCCATTGTTATCACTTTGGTTTTCTCTTTATTTTTTGTAACATTGATGCTTGAACAACATTGCTACTTGTTCGTAGTAAAGCATTAATAATATTGTTGGTGCATCATTGTAAATGAGATAAATTTAAATCATTTGCATTATTATCTGACTCCTGATCGATGTTTCAGTATTTTTTGATATACGTCCCAAAAGTTTTAGAAATCGTGGACGCATATGGAGCAAATCTATTTGCTATTACACTGATATCAAAAAGTCTTTCACTTAAATTGAAGATACAGATTTATTAATAACAGAAACATAAAAATTGCAGTACAACTAAATGTATAATTTTAATTTTCTAACTTCTTGAAAGTTAAAAACAAAACAAGCGATTTATTATTGAACAGTATGGCTGAAAAGCAAGATGACACAGACTACATCTAGTAGAAATACGATGGATATTTTTGGGTAAAAGATAAGTGATATATGATCCCTTCACGAGTCATCCACGACATAGTCATGTTGATGAGTTCGCATATCACCACGCACTATCACTGAACAATGAAACTATCCTAGTAATTAAAACTGAAATCTAATCCATCTGGAGATTATTTCGGTTCCCTCAAAAATTCAAAATTCTTTTCTAATTTAATCGACTTGGAAGCCATTTTGCAGGAGGTTCATATCTTTTACTTATCAGTTATTATCTCAGAATCAATCAAAACTAAAGGAATTTATTTTTGATTCAACAAATCGCTCTTGTACTCGTGCATTATATTATTGTTACTTGTTGACTTTTATTTTGAAGGGAGGTGAGATATATTAAAATCCTGAAGTCCATGGCTTATTTATTCCAAATAATCGTTGCAATACTCTTCGGTTCCAGTTGTACGCGTAGAGCCAAGCCATCTTTATTTTTATCTTCGACCGAAAATATTACTGGTTTATTGTTACGATTCAAAAGTATCAAAACTCGTTGATGTATTGGAGTAACAAATGCAACTCCTTCGTATGAAATCGGCTTTACGTAAAAATGTAGTTCAATTCGAACTGAACCCGGTGGAACGAATTTGCTGAAATTTTTTGGCTTTAATTTAAAAATGTAAGAAATAGAGCTTGATTTCTACAGCCACTAGAGTATTATATTTTTCAGCATTTTTGAAAAATCAAGAAACTCGTGCCAAGAAAGAATCATGCTAAGAAGAAAAAGAATCGTGCCAAGAAAGTAATTTACTTCTTTGTAAAAGAAATATACCGTTATTAATTACTCTTTTTTAAATGGCTGTCATAATAACTACTAAATAATCATCACTTATCTCAGACTAATTTCCTTCGCTTTTGATTTTTTTTCAAAGTGCACCTGCTTAAAATTCAGAATTTTTTCGTTTTTAAATTTCTATCTTGTATTTGCTAAATTATTAATAAATGAAGCAAATACTTTACTAACTGGTTTATTATAAATAGCGGTGATGTTACTAAAAGGCATATGTACATGATGATTAAGTAATACGATAATTAAAATTAACTCAAATTCTCCACAAAGTTGGGAATATTACCTGAAATGTCCCAAAATATAAAACATAGGTTGCTTGTAAAATTCATCAGCAGTTGCATTTACTATTATTGGAGCATCTACATAATTCTTGACAAAGTTCGGTCCACCTTTCAAATCAAGACAAAGATTCCAATCAGTCCATCCGGACACCCAGTGAGAAAGATCCTGAAATTCCTGAGATTAGGGCGAGCATGCTCTGTTGTAAGATTTCTTTTCTGTTAAATTCCTTAACTTTGTTAGCTTCTCATAAGCAATATACATTGGTGCCTCTGAAAAACTATTCAGCATCCTTTCAGAACGAGGATAACAATTAGAAATTATAAATTGCTTCTTGAACCAGCTGATTTGAACTTGTTCTAAGAGCCAACTGAAAATTCATAATACTAGAAAAAAAATTTTTGAAGTAGAATCTCTGAACGCTAACGGAGAAACCTCAATACTGCTCTTATGTATGAAGCTGCAAATCATCGATTGGACAAATGCAACAATTATTGCTTTTATAAGAAAATTTCAAAATTATATCGAGTTTTGCAAAAAGCAGAATGATACCTGAATAATATCATGAGCATACATATCACCGCGTGACCAATCTCCTAGAAGCGGACTATGTTCAAAAGGCTTGAATCCAGTACACGCCTGAATAGAAATTTTTTTCAATCTATCATGCCTATGTGGTATGATAATCTGAACTATATCCAATTATAGTGAGTGATCTTTTGGAACTTTTTATAACAAAATTTAAAAAAAACCAGCCTCAGTTCCGAAGATGAATTTATTTGGATGACGATTGTGTGTTTTGGAAAGCTGTAACACTGGCACGAAATCGCTATACCAATGGACTGCTATGCCAGACACGTATTGAGCAGCTTCCTTATCTTTAAGGACCTTAAATAACTATTTTCCAATAAAACATAATTCTTGATAACATTTAGCTGACAAAGCGGTGATAACTCGAAGTACAGAGATATAATTTGATGAAAAAATTCTTAACTAGCTGTTAGGCTCGTGATACCAATGAATTGTCGCGTAAGCAACATATAAACAAATACCACATCAGCCCAGATCGGTAGCTGTGTTCTCTGATCATCCATTATCATTAATGATATATTTCGACCCACTTTACTTCTTCGTAACGTCGGACCAAGATGATTTTTTATAAAATCACTAGAAAGTCATATCGGTAAAAATAACGCATGCAATCATATATTTCAGTGGTTATTAAAAAAGCAGAAAATTATACGCATTCAAGCTTTGACGAAAAAGTGACAACACTGGATGATCGTCTACTTATGAAATGATTTCATTTAGATAGACTGCTTCATTCATTCAACTAAAAAAACAAAAGACATAAACCTGCCGTTCAGTCTTGGAACTAAAGTACATTGTTTGCCACTTGTATGACAAGTCAACGCCGGAAACCGGCTCGTTTTGAACAGTAAGTCCCCAAAACATCAAACCATTATTTTTGTATGCTTCAAGAAATCTGAAAGTGAATAAAAAATTTACATATAATTTATCTAATCCATAGGGGAGAAGCGGGGAGGGAGAACCCATATCATAGACAAGAAGATGACTAGAATTTGATGCTTACTTTACATAATGGTTAGCCCACGTTACATGATATGACCCATTAGAAGGTCCGCGTAGTGTTCCGCCACCAATCATTTGTCCACTGGTTTTCATCCATCCTGGTGCTGACCATGGGGAAGCGAATAATTTGAGTGTACCACCTGTTAAGTTTACTGCTTGCTTGATATAAGGAATCTAAACTGAAAATTTGCGTCGAAGATGGAAACCATCACTTCCCATCAAAAAAACGAAAATGAAACCCCAAGGAGTCAATTTCGAACATGAAAAAAAAATATGAGAACTGTATAATTAATCTATAATGATAACAAAAACTTACTTTGAACTTGAAATCCTCTTCAGCCAATGAGAAATTACTGAGAGTAAAATCTTTCGGTGAGTCATCATATGAATATGCATGAGTTGAGAAATCGGTACTTGCAATCGGTACTCTGCCAATCGTATATTGTATACCTCAAAGTATACGCTCTTTTTCGGTACAGTAAAAGTAGTAGGCAAACTTTTCCGAAAGGTCATAAAAGTTTATTCATTAGTACCTATTCTATAGTTGTTATAATGAATATTTAGAGCATGAAGCTTATGTTCAAATTACCTGTGTTTCCAAAATAGGACTCCAACAGATTGGCGCCAGCTGATTCACTCAGTGAGTTGATATTAATGCCAGCTGCATCAGTGAATGCTCCACCAAACCCAATTATTGTTTGGAACCGTATCTGACCATCGATTTTCAAGCGAATGATTCCAGATGCTACAAATAACTTCTTGAATTTCAAAACTTGAATCAAGTTGTGTATTGTAAATCCTAGCTACTATTACTTTCTACTAAAAAATTAGCAACAGAATCCTTGAAATATAGTGTGGAAAGAAAACTTCCATTCAGAGATAAATACAATGGCAAAATTCTCAGTCAACCAAAATTGTATGATCATTTTGTACTTTAAATTATTAAACTTAATCTTAAATTAAAAAAGAATTCAATACAATTTAAGTTCAAATGCAATATATGTTCCCATTTTATTTTTGCATTATTAATATCATGTGAATGTGTTTCAGCGATGTCTTCAAATTGACAAATTTCAGTTTTGTACTAGAAGTGCAATAACTCTAGGCTATGGAATCCCACAATGATAGACAATTGAATTTAGAGCTCATAGATAAATCACAACGAAGGAAGCAAGTTAGTAAGACAAAAGTTCTAAATATAATAATATTCCAAGGAAAGTTAAGTGTTGTGAGACAATGTGAGATACACATCAATGTTTTTGACGATTCACCTTTTTACAATGACTTCTTACAATTAAGAATCCCTCTTTCTTCTTAATAGGACTCGAAAAACTAGAAATTATAAGTATGTGAAGCAATCACAGAATTGCAACAATTCAAAGAGTAATTGCATTAAATCTATTCATTTTTCAATTTGGATGAGTGTGAAATGAGGTGATATTACGAACAAATAGCACATCTTCCATATATTTTTTAGAAATAAACTGTACCATTTGTCTTATCAGCGAACGAAGAGACAGTACGTTCGAAACGCTTTCCATATTGGCTTGTCTTATAGATAACTGCCTGCAACGATTGCAAGTTACCCACTTCTGGTATATCATCACAATATGTCGCATTGCATACACATACTATATTTTCCTTCTTTTCATAATATCGTTTTTGACATTTTCTGATTTCTATGCCTGAAATTGATGAAAAAAATCATCACCGATTGAGTCATTCCAAAAGTTTATCCTAAACTTTAGAAAAGATGAAAGAATACTTATAAAGTAAACGTTAATTCCAAACAGTTGCTACGAAATTAATTGGTGAATTACATTCAAATTAGATTTCATTTACTTAAATTACATTTACTGATTGATATTATACCAAACAAACAAAGGTCTTCTTCTGATTTGTTTAAATGATCACTACATAGCTTTATGATTTACTTGCTGTTGTGAGTTTAAGAAATAAATAAATGAAAACTTTTGATGTGTTGCATGAAACAATAAAATACAACGTGTTAAAATGCAAAATAAATTTTAACACCTACGAATTCCGAATTTCTCTACCAAACACCATTAAGAAGCTTCAACTACTGTGAATGTCTGGTTAGACATCATTAAAAATTGTATAGTTTAAAAGATTGTCTAATCTTTCAATTTTATATTTCTACTAATTATTTACCTGAGCATAATAGTGTTCCGCTGGAAAGCATCAAAAATAAACAAAGAACAGAAAGTGAAGAAGAGCTTCGAGAATTGCAGATGAATATTATATCCATCTAAACGGGAAAACAGATCTGAGTGAAATATTACTGCACTCCTTACCCACGATAGAAGACACAGTTAGTCGGCTGTTTGCTATCGAATATGCCACGTCTTCAATCTCACTCCCGTAGCAACTCTCCGCATTCTCTTCTACCCGTTGAATATTTTCCAGTTAGCAGAGAGATAAACTCTTGAAAGAGCAGAGAAATCCCGATATTCTCATGGAAATTATCTGTTCACTATTGATCATACACATGTTTATTTACACTCCATCTTTTCATTTCTTTCTTTATCTTACTCTTTCTCTTTTGTTTTAATATCTTCACAAACTGTTAAAATTCATTGCTGTCTTTGTTACAATTTCACTATTTTATTTAAGGGAATAACGTAAGATGAACCATTTAAGCACACAAAAACATTTATTAATAAGAATGACTTCAAAATCGAATAATTTTCTTAGGATTATAACTCTAACAAATTAATGTTAATTAAAGCTAACCTAAGTTTGAAAAAAACAAAAAAGCTTGAGGTTCAAATGACAAGAAACATCTAAATTATGTTAGTGTAAGCTTCGCATTTTCAAATAAACATATTTTTGGAGTGACTATTGGTCATTCTATAAAAGAAAAATTTGGCTTAAGATTAAGATTTTTTCTGGAATTTAAAGTTTTCTTGTTTTTAATTCTCTAATTCCAGGTTTTTCATTTTGAATCTATTGATCCAATATTATAATTTGACGTTGCCTTTTATCACCTCTTCCTAGAATTGTTATCTCAGCAATTACACGCTATATCACACCTTTATGTCTGCTTAAAATGATTGGTTAGCTCAGTCCTCCACTAATTAAACAACAAATTTATATTTTTACGTGGTCCGGCAATTTTCAAATAGTTTTGAATTTTCACTGAAGTAGTTAAAACTACTTATTAATATTATATGGCCTTAGCTGTCATATACTTTAGTTAAAGTAAAAGGTCAGAGGAAAAGCCAACAACTCCCGCATACTGCTTCTGTTAATATTTCAGAAATCTACTAAAGATGCTCATCTTTACTTGTCATCTAGAAATGAGAGGTAGTCATATATCCAAACTTTACCTTTATGGTTGTTCAAGTTAGTGAACAAATTTAGCCAATTAGATGTGCTTTTACTTCCAAAAGAGTTCAATACAACATTTTTGAAATTCGGGCAAACGTTTTTTTTGGTGATAGATTAATTACCATGCAAACCTAACATGTCTCCTTATTGAGATGTCAGGGGAGATGCAATGAAATGACAGCATTTGAACAGGTAAGTTCTACGTACGCTGACTTCGCTTCAATTGGACTGGGATAGATGAACTTGACTTATCCCTCAAGTAAAACCCGTGCTCTCATCCTCTCGAGTAAAGCCAGCGTTATGGATCATAAGAGAACACCTACCAGCATTTATTTGTGACATAATTGATAGGTAGCATGTATCAGGAAGACTTTTATCTAGAATGCTTCGAGAAAAATCTTATCTGGAATCTCCGAAAGAATTCTGTCCTTCTGAAGATATTGCGCTCTTCAGGGAAACGAAAGACCGCTACGACTGGTAGGAACTAGAAGTTGCAGAAAAGTTAGGGAATGATGGTGCTGAAGAGATGATGGATCGATAAGAGCAAGTGCAAAATAGTAATGAGCATAATTGTTATAAAGAATGAAAGGAATTAGTGCTGGACGGGATACTTGCCTCCCGGCAATGCTAAGTTAAAAACAGGTTCGAGGAAAGTTGTTTACTATTTTTTTAGCTCTATTTTAGGTTTACGATTTGCTTTTTGATTTTAAAATTGTTCATTCACTTTCTGTGTCTAGGTCAAATTTTCTAACTGAAGTTACGATTTTGATTAGATGCTTGAGATTCTTCTCAAAATTTAAAGTGCGCGAAACTTCGTTTGTAGTTTTTTTGGGTTTCAAAATGTTTTTATTTTTCAAAATCATTTTCATCTATCACTGTTGTTATAGTTTTATCAAATAATTTTCATATTGTAGAGATTGGATGCGTCAGAACGAAAAAGATTCGGTCGTTAATTCACCATTGTCCTGTGAAGAAAAATTAGATGATATCGAACAATTTCGAAAACGTATGGCACCGATCCTAAATAAATATCAGTCATACAATACGACATTTACGTTGGGACGATGGCTTCGTTCATGCAATAATGATATAGGTTACTATAATTAATTAGAATTGTTCTGTACTTCCAACTTTTTTGTAATTTTTGGAATTTGTGTAAATATAAAAGATCTTGGGTTCAAATGGATGCATCATGGCTGTAGATTACAGTTAGCAGATAAGTAAAAACTTTAACTGTTTTCATTTTTTTATTTCGGAATTTAATCATAAGTGCTTCCAGTTAAGCGAATTAGTTTCCAGAAGAAGCATCTAAGCAAATGACACGAGCTTTGCAAAATATCTCTGCGCTTGATGCATGCAGAGATTATGACAGTGCTGAATCGTTCAATGATTTTTTGAATACTTTAAGCCGAGCTGCTGAATATTTTCCAGGTTAGCATTGATTTAGAGGAAATAAGATATGAACAAAAACTGAGGACTAAGTTTGCTTTAATTCTCATGTGACTGTCGAAAATTTGGAAGTATTTCAGCCTGTTACGCCTTTAATTTTTTGATCTAAATATAATTATACTGAGAGTTGCATCGACAAACGTTATCTCAGAGAGTATTTATTAATTGTTGTATTGCAGTAGATAAAAATTTTTTTGCTGATTGTGCTGATAATCGAGACCTCATCTATGTGTTTTGTAAGTTGCTTCTTACGCTTTACTTGTGGAATAGAAATATTACAAAAAGTGAAACGTTGACTAATAATCCATTTTCAGGTGGCGTTATGGGTCCTGACAAGCATGGAAATATTATTCTCGTACAACCGATGGGTCGTGCCCGACCAAAGACGATGATGCAGTTAGGACGTGTGTCTGATCTTTATAGGGCAGCAGTTTTGGAGGCCGAAGCTTGCATGTGTTTCTTAAGGTATTTCCATTTCCATTGTTCATTTAATGTTTCAAACTATCTTTAGAAGAATGAAGAAAATAAAATTAATGAAAATAAAGAATGGCTCATGTGCAATAGCTCAGGTTTGTTAAACTATCTCTTATAATGGTTTGAAATGATCTTTTTTAATATCTTACTGGTAACCTAATAAAGTTTATTCTAGATTTTAACTTCACTCCAAAATCAGCTTTTTCATTTTTATAGAAAAGAAGAAGCTGTTAGAGGACACCAGCTTAGCATTATTTTCATTTCGGATCTCGCTGAATTATCTTTGGAAACAATTTACATGCCTGCTATGAAGGCATACTTGAATGTTTTGAATGTATTGCAGGTTTCTTTTCCTTGCTTAGTCGGATTGATGATTAAATTGTTTTTCTGCTGGTATAAATTGAGAAAAGAGTTGGAGAAGCATTGCTGATTCTAATTACTATTTATTAGGAGTCATGTAATTTAAGATCCTACCTTATTTCTATGTATTTTAAGATTATTTTGATGAATGCATCTGTTCTCATCGGAATTCATGCATACTTTGTTAAAAATAATTTTCCGTAATTTTTTTCGTTTACCTTATTTTCTTTGTATTAGTTTGAGCATTTTAGTATTTCCCATATAATTTTTATGATACATATAATTTTTTATGATAAAAGAAAACACTTTATAATTGCAGTATTTATTCCCGAATTCGATCAAAAAGGTGTACGTAATCAATTCTCCCTCCATGATCAGTGTTCCTTTCAATATGGTAAAACGAGTACTTTCTAAAGTAAGATAAATTAAAATGGAACAAAAATCTTTCTAAAGTAAGATAAATTAAAAAGAAACGAAACATCTCAATATCAAAAGCAAATGCTACCTTTGAACTTTAATAATAAAAAGAGGAATTAAATCAAATATTTCTACTTTGCTGTTGCATAGCACTTAGATTTCTCTTTTAATCAATATTACTCATTCCTGCTATTTTAGTGCCAAAATATTACGATTGCAAAGCTTTTGGTGATTCTCTTTTTTCTGCAAAACCCTTACTTTTTAAAAAAAGTTTTAAGGAAAAACCGAAAGTTCAAATTAGAGACATTAGAAGTCTTTTTCAGAGAATGATTGAAAATGTCGAATTTATTGGCAGTGACTGGAAGCAACGGCTAAGAGATGAGCTAGGTGAAGAAAATATTTTTCGATATTGGGGTGGCACGAAGGAAGCTCCAAAAGAAACGGGTACAATACGCATGGGTGGTGAAATACCTGCTAGTTTGAGGTGTTTTTATTTTTCGTTTTATCTTTGATAAATAGTAAGCTTTTGTAGTTATGAAATTTGACTCCGTTTTTGCATGCAAAATTAAAGTACTCTACGCCGATAATGTTTACTCCATGGCTTCTTCAAAGATGGGAGAATAAATTTCAAAACGATGTCCTATTTGTAAAAAATCGACTTTTAAAACTTGCTACTGTTCGAATACGGGATTTTAAGTAAATTGCGTTGACGTTAGTGTCATGAAATCCTTCTAGGACATACGATCGAATTCTCGTATATCTTCAGTGACAAAAATTCAGTTATTTTCTAAATTTGTTTTCAGGGAAGAGATTTTAAAAACGCTGAAGTTCATTCCTGATGATCAATTAATAAAAGCAACGGTTACAGCCGGCTCGATGCTGAAGATTCCAGTTTATGTGTTACAGTCAAATTCATTATTGCAGTGGTATTTTACTGTAAATGCTGGAGACATTGACTTCAAAATTACATATGGTGAGGAAGAAGAGGTATGGCTTGTTGTAAATCTGACAAAATTTATTGCTTTTTTGTTTTTGAAAATTTTTTTCAATGAAATTTATTTTTGCATTCAAGGTTCGTAATTAACGAGATATAGGTATTCTTAATTAAATTCTATTTCGTTAGTATTGCACTTTAGTCTGTATTACATTGCTATCCATCAATAGAAAAACAAAAATCGATAGAACCGGAAATAAAACAAAAATTGTTTTGCAGCAGGACTCACATAAAATTCATAAGTTAATTTTTATCAATTTTCCAGATCTGGCCGCATTTCCGTCTGTCAACTGAATTTGTCCCAGAATATGGCGAATTGCCATGCCATCAGAAAGGGACTTATATTCTTCATTTCTGTAATCCGGCAAAACTATTTAATAAAACAGTTGCATATAATATTTCGGTGAAGGATCCGTAAAATGTACTTTAAGAAAACTTGTTAAAAGTTTTGCGGGTAATTAAAATTATTGGCTTATTTTCGAGTTATTTTTGTAACCTGTACAATTCATTATTCATGTATATATTTTATGCCAGGCCATATTAATGGATTATTCTACAATTATATTATTTCGATGTTTCCAATTTTAATTATTGCTGCTTCTTTTCAATAATGAAATATTCTACTATGTCCCCCGAATTTGTCCCAAAATATGGCGAATTGCTGTGTAATCAGAAAGGGACTTATATTCTTCACTTCTATAATCCGACAAAACTATTTAATAAAACAGTTGCATATAATAGCCATTATAAGTGAAATACTTGTCTAAGTAAAGAGGCAAGTATTTCACCTTATGGACTGGGAAGGGAGCAGTGAAATGAAACCGAGGTACGTTTGGTTTTATCTCCATAAGTTTTAAACCGTCCAAAACATGTGCTTTTCATTGAGATCGGTACAGAAAGTGTAACCAGACAATGAAATGCAATTTGATGCAGAAAGTAATGAATTGTAAAAAGTACAAATGGACTATACTACATATCTATGACTCCAATAGCGAACAATCGTTTTCGAACAAGTGAACGGTGTTCCAAATTGATAGAAATGTAGAAATGTAACCGTTTTTGAAGCTTGCAATTTTTATCTAGTCGTGATTAGTAACAAAATGGTTGGTCCACAAATTTTGAATATTCTCAAACGGCTTTCCAACTCTTTCGCCTTTTTCATTTTGCTATACATGTGTGGGATGTTTGGTGCTTACTAATTAAATAAAGTTACTTATAATTCAAAAATTGAAGAGCAACACAGCTGATAATTATGAAATCGGACGTCTGTTGTAGCACTTTCTGAAAGTCATGGGAGGAATGGCAGACGGTGAATTACTCATTCATATTTCGGAATATCACACCAACGCATGCTGGGATTTGGTTCTGAACAGAAAACTAGACTTGCCTTCTAATATTAAATATAACAAAGTAAAGGCAAATTTTAGAATAATCAGTTTTCAAACTTTAAATACGACTTAAAAAATTACCCCTGCATGGTGACCAATAGTTTGAAATAAGTTCCGCAATGTTGTTATTCTGATAAAACTGGCGTTGTAGTTTAAAATTACTTTTTCTATTATCGGTCTCACAAGCAGTTATATTATTTGCTGAAAATAGAACTATGATTAGTAGCAGCTTTCTTTGGATGTGGACATTAAGATCGAAAAAATAATGATGAATATCATCTTTTATTGAAATGGTAGGAAGAACTAAGGATCGAACGATATGGATGGAATACGGAGGATGTTAAGTTGTTTACATAGCAAATTCCGATTATAATAAACTCTTGTCACCACTCAATCGTGGTCAGTGGAGTGTCTCGGTAAATAATAGCGGTACCTAATATAGTCAGTAGTACATAATGTCATTGCCGAGAAGAATGTCTTTGGTAGTTATACTTCTAACTTTTATTTATTCAGGTATTTTTGGAAATTATAATAGTGGGTGATACTGTGAGATGATATTTTTAACACTAACTTTACTTATCATCCACATGTTTAGTTGCATTAAGAATCTGCTATTGAGCTTTTTTGGTACCGTAACAGTTCTTCATGTTCAAATTTCTAGAGAAGAGAAGTCTTTCATAATTCAAAATATTTTTCGATTCAACAGTATCACTAAATTTATCAACCAGAAACCTTCATATTAAAAAAATTTATCAAATTGAACATAACTTTTAATGGAGATGAAAATATTCAGTTCATGCATTATGCAACACTATATTATTTTATAGTTTATGGTTGCATACCTTTCGATTACAATTCAATTGCGCAAAATATCGCGTTACAATCACATTATGCTCTCGGTGAAAATACTCTCAAATCGCAACCAATCAGTATCAGTAAGTGATAATGTCAAATTGCGAAAGATTGTGCTTTCAGAATTTCTTCACTCAGTGAATAAGAAAAACAGTCTTTCTGATTGTTACATAAAAAAGTAGAATATATCACAGATTCAGCACAATGATAATTCTTAATTTGTCAGTGCATAAATGATAACAGAAAAACTCCACATGTCCTTACTTTTTACTTGTTTTTGTAATTGTTGATCTTTGATATCAAGTTATAAATACGGTAACTAATCAAGGAAATGAATAGGTAATACATTGGAAAATAGACCCATTGATGGAACAAGCGATTTGTTCTGCTATGATTTTGATTCCAGTTGTCGATGGCATAATTTAGATAATTTATTTATTCATGATGATTTAAAATGGTTCCGCGGTAATGGCTTTCTGGACCGTAATCGTTTACAGGTTAAATTAGCTTTTTGTTGATTTCCTGTTTAAATGTTAGAAAAAAATGAACATATCTTAACTTTTACGCTAGATTATTTTATGTTATTATCAAATTAGAAATTCGGATTTCAAAATTTAGTTAAAAAATTTATTAAGATGTAATCAGCATACAGTTGTTTTGTGTGCAAAATGTTGATTACATATTTTATAAAGTACCTGTACATAATTTCAGCGGACCCAAACAATTGGTTCGATCAATAATCTTAATGAGTAGAACGTCTAATAAATGATTACGGTTGAGACAAGTAGTTCAAGAATATTTATAAAATAATTCGGGAGAGCATAAATTTGTTATTTGTAATTAATTGCTATTGAATGATTGCACAGGTATCAACCGGAACAGACATCACACCTGATGGAAGTTATAGCATTGTGGCAACAGATCAAATTCAGGCTCCGAATTCGAAAGCGACATTAGTTAGTGATGTAATAACCTGTCAGGTTGGAGTGGGAGAACTGCGATTCATGTGAGCTTACATTTTCGATAGATTTCAGAGAGGATTTAAAAAAGAAATTGAAAGAGTAATGACACATAGCACCGATCTCCTCCACAATTTCAGCTTTTAAATCTTTTAAAAAGATAGGTCCAAAAGCGAGCGGCAAATTATATTAATGATTTCAGGTACTGGATAAGTCCAGAAGTAAGATTAACAGTATGTCTAAAGCGCATTAGTCAATCATATCCAAATTTTGACTTCTGCACCAGTCCGATAAGAGGAGGGAGTCCAGGACCGGCGCAAATTAGTATTGATGACCTTGGAAATGAACCATTCCAGGTTTTATTTTTAGTTTCAAATCAAATAATTAAAAATATTCAGAAATATTTCATAACTTTTTATCACTGGCTCATTTGATTCTTGATAATGTCATAAGTCGAAAAATTCCGATTAAATTTCGCACCAGAGATCAACAAAAAATGTTATTTTTACGAAATCTCGTTGTGGAATTTTATCTTTGAAATCTAATTCCAATATTCTGTCTTCGATATATATTTTTAATACTATCCAAAATTTTAGACTTGTATCATTTTTTATCCTTCAATTCACTTCCAAGAGAAGTTTTCATCTTCGTGTTGTAGATTTTGATCCAAGCTGATAATTTCGTGTTTCACTCTGGTAATTTGGAAGGTGGTTTTGCGATCATTGACAACTTGGAGTATTATGGTGATCTGTGTTTTGATCCTACTATGCTTCCGATTGATGTCCGAATTATATTCGTTGAATTTGAATTTAGTCTTTGATTGACCTTTCGTACTGACTTTAATTTACCAGATACCACAAAGGAACAAGGCCGTAATTTATTTTCGGTATTCTATGAACTTTTATTTTCATTCATTCAATTTTAATTCCTAATTCCGGGGTTTAATTTGTTTTCTAGAAAGATATCATCGTATCGCATGTTATGTATGACGAAAGTGAATCGACAGGAAGTCCTGGCCCAAAAACTACCTTTACGGATTATAAATCTGTATGTAATGTACTACAATGTACTTTCGACGATGATAGTGATCAGTGTAGCATAGATACTTCGAATTCAATGTGGTCCATTGCGCGTCCTAGTAGTGATGGAATTCGGATAGAGAGTAACTCTTCCGGCCCGTTTTACGACCCAGGTGAAAATCCTTGTTAACTTAAAATTTCTAGAAGAAAACTTAAATTGAAGACAGCAATTCCAAATGTGAGGCATTGTTTGCTGCACCAAACATACGATTCTAAATTTAAAGAAATTTTCTTCACTTTCGTAATCTTAGAGATTACAAAATTTCATCTCCAAAGAGCATATCATTTTTTAATAAAAGCATAAAATATTTTCCAGCTGATTCGTTTATTTACATCGTAGGACCTGTAGCAAAGGCTCGTCTTCATACTGCACCCTTCCAATCCATCATTGATTTCAACCTTCTTTTCTCTTATTACAAAACTTCAAACAATCCAAAACTGCGAGCTATTATCAAAATGAGAGAAAAACCCACAGAAAAAACTGTCTTCACGGTAATTTTTTTTATCACTATGAAATAGCCTTTGTTTTTCACGTTTTTCTCCTTGAAAATCACATTATGACCTAAAATATATATTGTCATACCTTAAGCTCTAGATTTTTTAAATTTTCTTTCTGAGAATAACGAGTTTATTTACAGGCTCTAATGTGGGAGAAACAGAACAAACATTGGTACCGAGAACTGATTTCACTAGAAGCGGGGATATACGACTATGTCAGTTCCTTCATCAGTTGAATATGGTTTCGAGACTATTAATTGTATTCGAGATATCTCTGATTACCCAAAAAACACCGAAAAAAAAAATATTCTTCGAGAAACATGCAAAGCTTGTAGTGAGGATCGAACCTTTAGTATGGCAATGACGATTTTGTGACGACTTCCAACGCGCCATATTCCGGACCCCCATACTGCTTGAATCCAACATCCAGAACATTAACCCAACCTTGAGTTTGAAATATTCTTAATATTCTTAATTTCATTCTGCGAATGTTTTGTTAAAATTATTTTACAGGTAGCTATAGAGATCCAAAATTTGGATGATGACCAACAAATCGGTATTGACGAATTCTTAGTGTTGGATTCACAGAAGAGGCCAATGTGCTCTCAGCAAAGGAATTCCTGACTTCCCCTTTCACTTTTGTATCTAATAAATATAAATGTTGTAATTGCCTAAATAAACTAATTTTTTTGCAACTCGACGAACTTTTCTAAAAAGACATTCCTGGTACTCATCCTGGAAATATGACATTTGACGTCATAAAATATTGTTAAATAAGTAATTCTCAGAGAAATAACGCTTGAACAAATGAATTCCTAGAGGGAATATATATTATTAGGATTCTTGAGCAATGTGATGGTAGCATAGAAACGTTAGTCCTTCTTTGCTTTTTTCTGATGAGTTTCCCAGCGATCACAAAGGTACAATTTTTAAAGAAAATAACTAATAATTGTTAGGCACAAATTAATCACTCGGACCATACATTTGTGTCCATACAATAATACTGATACATATCTTTAAAAGAAGATCAACAATTTTAAAAGGCCTTTCTGCGCAGCTAGTTGCAAAATGTACAAATCTTAATAAAATTGGTGTAAAATTAAACCAGATGAAAAGTAGAAAAACGATATAATAAAGCTGAGTAGGAGATTTTAAAATTAATTTTCGAACTAATTGCGAATTTGAGTTGTGGTGTGTTCGCCGTAGAGCAATTAGTATATAATAGAAACAGATCGTTATACAAGAAAAACCTTATCTCAGATGCAGCATAATTCTACGGAAGTATATATGCTAAAAACAAAAAATTTGAATTTGATTTGAATCTCAAAATTGAAAACTAAATTGGGTTAGTTTTCCAGAGATTTGTATAAGACTGAGAACAGTATATTTTCAAATCGTTTGATATACAAACGACAATGTTGAAACCGCAATACCAACTTTTTAAAAGCGCAGATTCATCTTGAATACGACCAAAATACTGTGGATTTCTCAAAAGACTACTCCTTTATAGAATGTGAGAATATGGAATCACGACGTCCAAGTGAGGGTAGGAATGTAGAAGCCGAAAGCATCTGTCGAAAACCACGAGTCGGCATGGTGAAACCGGCCGTTTGCGTTCTTCCGTCTGGTGACGCCCTTTCAAAGCTTTCATCAATTGGACGAAGATTACTTCGAGAGTGCAAACGTGACAATGTATTCGATATACCCAAGTGCACGGTAGACATCGCACGTCTGAACTGACTTTGCTGTCGTGCACGTGGAGTTCCTAATGCCTGAGATCCTCCAAGTGGATTTCGAACTCTGAAAAAACGCTTATGCATTGTGGTGAATTGATACTTCTATCTAGAATAAATCACGCAAAGCCATGGTGCTGCTTTTACATAATAGAATTCCGGAAAATTGTACTCTGAAAGGTAAAATAACCACCAAATTATAAAATCCAATATATTGGCCGAAGGATTTTCTTTTTTTCCTCCCCTGCATTGACTGCAAAATTTATGCTTCTTAAAAATACTTCTTGAAAATACAAACTAAATAAAACTAATGTTTCATGGGAAATTCCTTCAGTGTCTTTTGTTATGCATGTGTGAAATTTTAATTTGGACAATAATTGCTTACGCATGATTTAATGCTTTCTTGATAGTTACTATATTTTCCTTGACACCTAATAATGAGGGATCTTCGTCGAAGTCCAC